TAGATTCCAGGTGTACTGGGAAATTATTTGTGGGTCGACTCGCCGTGCACACTACCTAAGGTGAAAATGCTTGAATTAGGCCAGCAAAACACAAGCAGTAGCGACGGCAGCCGCGATGAAGGACACCCACGACGTGGACGCGGTGCCAGTCTTGGTGTCAGGGGGCCCAGGCACTTCGTCGCCATAGCATGGGATGTCCGAAGACTTGAGACCGCTTAACGCCACCAACAGGTCGGCGTTCGGGACTTGCCACGACTTGGACGTCATAAGGCCGTAGCGGGCTTTCCCAATGGTTTTGTTGCCCGGGGGGGGAGCTTCCAGCCACATTTCCGTGTCTGGGTTCAACGAGGCGTAGAACCCTCCCGCCGTCGATGTCGCGAGGTACTTGATGATCAAATCGAGAACGGACGACTGGAGCGGCTGGCTCGACCCGTATACTCCGCCAAACGACCCAAACACGACCGGGACCTTCGCTTCTTTGACGACAGGGCCGACGGTCTCGTCCAGCAGGCGCTGGTACAGCGCCGACATGTCCGACGTCGACAGCGGCGTGAATGACTGGCACTGGAGCTTGGAATTTTCGCACGACAGTGCCCGCTTCGTGTTGGGAACCTTGAGTCCGTTCTCAATCACGACGCACTCAGTGTCCTTGTCGGCCAAAATAGCAGTCGAGCAGTTGCTCTTGGGGTCGAAAAAGAATCCCAACGGCTCGACGCCTTGCGTGAACGCTTGCGGGGTGTACACGATGTTTTTTGCCTTAAGCGGACGAACCGTCGCGTTCACAAAGTTCATGCCAGGCCAGACCTTGTAGCTGTTGGTTTTCACGGTGAAGCTGCCCTTGCTGCTACCTATGATGGATACACCGTAAGCCTCGCTCGTGTAGGACGGGATCCATTGGCGCTGGAGGCACGACGCACCTGCGACGAAGACAAGCCATTGCGGACACAGCTCGTTGACTTTGGCAGCAATCGCGTCGGCCGCAGACGGCCAGTCCAATGTAGTGCTGGCTTTGGACGGCCAGTCGACTTCCGTCATGGCGTTCTTCAAGTCGATGCCCATCACGTTCCAGTACTCGGGCTTGCAGTAGTACGTGGCGAGGAGAACGGCCGTCTTGTACGCGATGGACTCTTCCACGGCTCCCTTGGTGGGGTAGTACCAAAATGCGTCTTGCGCAAACTGTTCTGTCAACGTGTGAATGTCCAAAACCACGGAAATGCGGTACTTTTGGAAGCTCCCAATGAATCGAGCGACAAAATCCGCCATCTTGGGAGTGAATCCCTTGTCATACAACGCAATTTCTCGATTTTCGCCGTGGATATTGGTCACCTTGGGCGCGTAAGTCGTGTCGATGAAGTTTCTGGCAGACAACGGCAGTCGGACGGTGTTAAATTTGTTGGCGTACAGGAACTTGAGCATGTCGGCGAGGGCCGTGCCTGATATCCCCGAGTCACGCTGGATTGTCCCATTGCCCCACATGCCGGCGGGAATGCCGTCGGGAGTTTCCATTCCCATCCATTGCACGCCCTTAATTTGAATGGGGGTCTTTGTGGTCGGTGTCAAAGGATCGACGGCAAAGATCTCGTTGCCCTCTGCAACATAACTCGTGTGCCGGCATTCTAGAACACCCAGACACTTCAACGGATGCGCCTACGCTCAAAGGGAGGCTGTATGTACACGTACTGCGAAAGGTCTTGATGTCTGTGGGCGTCTGTTGTGCCGCAGCCAGCGCCACGATCGCGGCCATGAACAAAGCGGCGACTCGCATCTTCGCGGACGAGTTCCAAAATGGCTTTTCAGCTCGACAGCTTCTTCAGCTCCATCTACGAATGCTCAATAATATTCAAATCATTTTGATATGTGTATCTACATTAAAATATTTGAATTCAATTTAGTGATAGGCGTTCGACGATCTCATGCCGTGTGACACACTTGAATTGACAAATATCGCGTTTGGTCAAAACTTGCACTATACAAATATATAGTATAATTACCTCGCGCAACTTGACATTTTGATGGATTTGCACGTGATACACAAGTGTAGGTAAACGATATCATCTATCATTTAATAGAGAATAAATCCTGCATAACATAACACGTTGTTTTGGCCCATGACGGTGGCGACTTTGATGTCCGCCAACCTCTACATGCATGTGCTGGGGCTCAAAGCCGTGTGTCTAGCGTGTACGGTCCAACTAGGTAGCTTGACGAGGTGTACAACATGCCGAACCAGACGCGCGGTGCTGCAGAAAATCCATTAAGAAAATACGGATTTTTGGATTTTTGGCGGGCTTGCATCGAAATGAAATAGGCACGGGGATTGGACAAATTCGTCCAATCCGAACATGTCACCACAACCCCACGACAATTCGATCAACCCGTGCCGACGATGCGGTCGGAGGTCGCCCCAACAACGTGAGCAACGCACGTCCTGCCGCCACGACCTTGACGCCATTGCTCGAAGGTGGCTCACTTGATGGAGGTATCGGTCTTTCCCAAACCATAGATCGTAGCGTCGATGTAAAGCGTGTAAAGCGTAAAGTAGCCATCAATTCTGCAAGCGCGGATCCACACAAATGAGCACGCCTCGAAAGGCTTCATGAAGAAAGGATGTGCTCGTCATCGTGGCCACAGCTTATCGATCAAACTGTCGTAGTGCACGCACTGAAAAAAGCAAGATGCACCGTGCGACCATTCCAACGACATCGCCGCCAGCGGCAAATTTACACCGCGGCGCAGCAAGAGATCGTCTTGTAAGAAACTTCACTATGCCTACATATACACACACATCCGTCGCGGCGGAAACAGCACACGCCATGGCTGTACAGTGAACCCCAGTAAAGCCGACATGGTTTCATCCTGACGTGCATGGAGGCAGCATAAAATCAAGTCTTTAACTTACGGGAGGTAGTCCAACTTGATTGGCTATAACCAAAGTAATTTCTGTCAGTCAATCACAGTTGTTATTGTATCTGCACTCCAATTGGTCAAAAATGTTATAGAGGTGGTCGCTTCTTTTGGGGGTGTCGCCGTTTTTCCGGGCTAACAGTCGCTCTCGCTGGTCGACGGGGAACTGGTACTACTGCCATCGTCACTGTCACCGTCACTGCTGTCGGAGGAGTTTTCGATCGCAATCGCTGTCCTCGTGCTGGTTCCTTTCTTTCGCTGGTTCGGGGCCACGCCATGGCTTCTGTCCACGTCGTCGTCGCTGCTATCGTCGTCGACAAGGCGAAGGAGCAAGTTTGTCAAGTGCTGGGGATGTGTCCAACCTGCAGGCACAGTGTGGGCGAACTTCGTCGGGGGGCAGTGAATTCCATGGGTCCACTGTGGCCCGATAGGATGGCCTTCCACGGTCACCGTCACGAACGGGTAGGGAGACGAAGGGTGGGGGAACTTGTCTTTGACAAAAGCTTTGACTGTGTTGACCATGCGGCGAAAGGACGCCGTGGGGTCTTCACGAAGCCCCAGGTGTGACAAAGCGTCCAGCTGATTCGTGGTCAGCGTGCGGTTCGCGGCGTACGAGAACGTAGCTCCAAATGCACACCTCCATTCGATAGAGGCAGGAAGCGTCATGTCCAGGGTCGTGGTTGCAGTCGAGTGGCGGCGGCGAACAGGGATCGGCGGCGCCGACAACTCGACTTGCTGGATTGGTGGATACTCTGGCCACATCTTGTGGCCTTGGGTCTGCAAAAACGATAGGACAGCCTTCTTGCCATGCATGCGGTAAATGGCATTCAGTGGCATAAACGAGCTTGTCATGACGGGCCAGGCAGGGTGCGGATATGCCCCGACGAATTCGACCAACTCGTTCCCGTACTCGGACGACTCGACCAAGCGCTGGAACTGCCCCATCAACAGAATCACATTGTCGCCCAACGCGTCCAGCGCCACAGTGTTTGGCGCCCACGAGAACCGACACTCCCACAGCAACGCCGCCGATTTCGTCCAAAAGTCTCGCAAGCATCGGTTGAATGTGTGGGCAATGGTGGTGGCCCTGTCGGAGCGCATCGGGTCAACGTCAGGCAGAAAGGACGCCACCGCCATGTACTTGAGCCACGGTTTGGTCTCTCGAATGGCCGCCAGCATCGCCGTGATGCTGCCAGGACAGGTCGCAGGGACTTGGCGACGTATGGAGCGGGCTGGATTCGCGATGGGAGACGAACCAAGCGACGCCCTTCTTCCAGTCGCCGATGCTTGAGTTGTGGCATGAGTTTGAAACGCAAATGCTTTCACATTTGAACCACTTCGTTTTTTCGATGGAGAGACCGCCTCAGCACTTGCTGGGTTTTGCGGCGTTGTCATGGCTGGAGCTTGGTTTGATGCCGGAGCTAATCGGCCGCTGGACGAAGGAGGCAACGCTGCGGGAATTGCAAATTTCACCGACTTTGCGCGTTGGGGCGCCGGAGATTTTGGGACGACCAGCGATGCTTCTGGTGCGCTCGTTAGTGCTGGAGCTGCATCGTATTCGATAGCAGTGGAACGAGGGGGACTGAGGCCGCCGGTGGCTGTCGTCACAACGCAGCCAGGAGGAGAAGCAAAGGAAGTTGCTGCGGAAGGGAATGGAGCGCCCAACGCTTCGTGTGATGTACAAACTTGAGTGTCGGGGGCTTGGGGCGTGGCAGAGACTTGTTGCATTGTTGTGGGTGGCACTGGAGCTGGCTGGACCGGCGCTGGGGACACGATGGGGGGTTGTGCCTTCTCCAAGGCCGGCAGTTCGGTGATCTGCGCCAGAGAAAGTTGTGATGGTCCGCTATCTGAGCGATCCACAGCGCTGGGTCCTAGATACAGCGGCGCATTGTTGATTTTCGTCTGCATGGGCTGCATTGCCGCCGCAGTGGCGTCCGAGCAGTGGCGCTTCGTTGGCGCAACCTCCGCGGTAGTTTCGTCAAGGTGGTTTCGCTTGTGCGAGTCAGCCTCTCCTTTTTCTGATGTCCTAGCACCGTGTGAGGTCGGAGGGTCAGGCGTCGGTTCAGGATCAACGTCATCATTCTTCTCATCATCTGGCTGCCCTCGATCGTCGCCCGACTCGTTACTGTCAGCTTCGTCGTCATCTGTTTCAAAAGGCTGCCATTCGGGAATCGGGAGCGAGGCTGGGGCGGTCGCAGGTGCAGTCGTCAACGCAAAAACCCCAGTGGACGTCTTGAACTCGTCTAAGCGAACGGACGGCGCGCAGGTGGCCCGACACGTCCATCTGCACTCTTGCTCCCATGCCTCGATAAGCGCGGCCACGTGTTCTAGGCCAACAACACTGACTTGACCAGCGACCCAGTTCCAAAAGCGCACGACAGCAGTGTTGCGCTCCTGTTTTGCCCGCATGTACTTGACAGATAGTTTATGGTGTGCGGCCGCCAGCCTGGATGTCCTCGCTACTTCACGTTGCACGCGTGCCTCGATCATACGCATCGATTCGGTGAGTAGGGCATTGCGCTCACGCAGCGCCGCGTTTTCGAGCTCGAGCGAGTCGGTTCTTGTTCCTTCTGCTGTCACGTCATTGGAACCTTGTTGACGTGAGCTTGCCGAGGCAGCGCGCAGCTTGCTCAACGTCACGGTCACTGCGCTCGTCCACTTGGCGGCTTCCTTGAGCAACTCATGCGCGTGGACGGACAGATCGGCCATCGCTTCGACCGCATCGTCATGCATCATGTTCGATTGCGATGGGTTAGGCAGTTGTCATCCGGATTTTTTGACGTTATCCGGATAGCAATCTGCGCAAGGAACTTGACAAGAAGCACGATGGGAATCGATGGCCTCTTGGTGCATCTGGGAAGCGTGATGAGCGAGACGCATGTGAGCAGGTAGGTCGGGCATCTGCGATTAACGAGGCTCGTAGTACGATCTAATGAGGTCGTAGGTTCGATGGCAAGCGCGCAGGCATTGACATATCCGTGTGGATGTACGGCGGGGCGTCGGCGAACGCAACGGAACTTGCCCTCCAGGCTGAGAACAACGTCGACGTCATGACCATCGAGCACACACTCGCGTACGAGTCGTACTGCATCAGTCGCTTGGAGCTGCTGTTGAAGCACAACATCACGCCGGTTGTTGTGTTTGAAGGCGCGGCCATGGCCACCAAGGCCGTGACGTCCACAAGACGTGAACACGACCGCCGAAAGCATTTGCTGCGTGGGCTGAGCTTGCATGCAAACCATGATCTCGTGGTACACGCCACCGTTTGCATGTCGAGTAGCGATCTACGATGGTGACCATAGACGTCTAGGAGAGCGAGAAAGCGTTTGCAAGAAGCCTCAAGATTACACGAGCCATGGCTCGGAAATTTCGAAGGACATTGCAAAGACTGCACCCCAGCATTGAGTGCATCGTGGCGCCGTATGAAGCCGACGCGGAGCTGGCACATCTCTCGCTGATCAAATATGTCGATGTCGTTATCTCGGAAGACTCGGACTTAATTCCGTACGGATGTCACACGGTGAGCTCGTTGTCCCACCACCCTTCTCCATGCGCTAAATTCATTGCATCGCGCTAGGTACTGTTCAAAATGAACGATCTCGGCCAAGCGCTCGAGTTTCGAAGGCGGCACATTGGCGCGTGCGAAGCGTTTTCGTTTATCGGGTGGACCGAGCTACAGGTACGTGCGTGGCATGAGCGACCGCATAGTGCCGTCCGCTGGCGACGGACCGACTGGCTCGGTTGCAAACGTGTGGATGCGAGTGGCCCAATTTCACGGCGGTCGTTCGTAGTTCCTGCAGCTGTGTGTGTTGGCAGGATGTGACTACTGCCCGACTGTCCCTGGCGTCGGCTTTGTGTCAGCCTACAAGATCGCCAAGTCGTGCCCGTATCCATCGATGGTAAGTCGAGGCATCGAGGTGGCGTGCATGGTGTTCCCAGTGCCCAACAGCATTGATGGAAGCGATTCCTGACGCATGGTGTAGGTGCTCAACTACCTGCACCAACACCACAGCGACGTTTTGCCAGCGAGCTACGACGCGGACTTTTACCGGGCGCTCCTGACATTTCGCCACCATATCGTGTACAATCCAGTTGTCCAGGTATGCCGACTTGCTGGGTGGCAGTGCTCGTGGCGCGTTGTGCACAGCAGTGGCGGGCATTCTTGGCCTTACCGCTCGGGCGATTCGATGGTGCCATGCGCATTCGATCGCTGACGGGGAGTTGGTTGTAGCGTGCGACGATGTTGCACGACTGGGCTACGTCTGCGGACGATATTCGCGAGTGGGCAAGTGATATCGATCCAGCGTCGTTCCTCGGCAACGTTGAAATGCCGCACCAACACGCCAAAGGCGTCGCCGAAGGCCGACTCCACCCGACAACCTATGCGGCATACCACGATTGAAAACGGCTGGTCTTTGACTCCCCAGAAGCTGTGAAGCGGTCAGCTTGGTGGGTGATGCACTTGCCACGGCTAGTGTGCGCATGGGCAGTCCATCGTCTCGATTTTGAATGGTCCAGCCCATCCAACTCGTCAGATCGAACGAGTGGCAGAATGCCGTGCTTGTTTGATGAGCGGCTGAGGATGGCACGGGTGGTCCGTACGTGCGCGGAGGTGGGGTTGCAACTACAACTCTATTGCATTCGATATCTCGAACTTTGATCTCGAAGGATCGTTTGACAATGTCGATGGGCGCGGCGGTCACGTCACCTGACTTGGTCTGCGGGCGCTGTCTTCTTTCAGCGGAGTTCGCGTGGCAGTGTGTAGGGATATGGAGGTAGTTGGAGGATTCTGGGCCGCCGACACGGGCAGTGCCGACGATGATGACAATGTTGTAGTCGAGTTGAGGATGACGCCGAGGGCATGGATCATGCAATCACCGACGTCGACGGCACCACGCCGAGCAAGACGCGATCCTCGATGTACGTGGAGACCAGGAAGGTGTTCGAGGAGCGCTAAGCTAGCGTGCATGTGGGCCGTCAGTCCCTTCTTGGCAACGTGGTCGCAGTCGTGCACATCACTTGAACGTTTGCGCTTGGCGGGCTTGGAACACACGATTGAGAACGACGGCGGCGACGACTGCGCTGGTGGACTGGACCGTGCTCTCACCGACGACATCCCGCTAGCCAAGACTTCGATAATGGAAGGCTCCCTCCCGAGGAGGCAGAGGGCGTCCGTTGGGTAGGGTGTGCCGGGCCCGATCGAGTAGGATGAATTCACATACAAATATCGCTATAATGTTGTCGAATGTGAAGCTACAAATTCCGCGAAAAACGTGGTCGTAACGAATCGAATCAAGTCACGACCAGTTGTCTATATAAACTTTCCTATTATTCAAGATTCAAACGCAGGAGATGATTCACTTGATCGTTGCAATCGGGAGCAATCCTGGCGAAACGTCACCAGTTGCGACGGTGGCGTTGGCGTGAGAGAGCCGTGGAAGCGCCAGGGCAAAAACGTTTGAAAGGCATGGGGGAACGCGTAGTTCTGCAGATGACGACGATGTTGGAGCCACTTGTGCAGGACACACCTCGCCACCGACATACTTACGTTCGTGGCAGCGAAGGTAGATGTAGACGCCGGCCAAATACACCCCATCATTTCAGTGTGATCCATTGACTCTTGGCTCCATCGATTCATTGCAGTTGATCCAGGGCAAATAAACAAAAAAGTCATGAGCAAACAATCAAGGTAGCTGAAGTTGACGGGGTCACGCTTGCTGGGCACAACAATTTCACCTGGCTATCTAGCTAGCATCCGCCCCAACAACGACATCCCAAGAAGTACGTCAACAGCAACGGCATGGGCAGCCAACGAGCCGAAAAACGAGAGATGGTCGCTGTGGAAAAGAATCGTCAGCTGTGAGATTCGAACTCACGCGGGTTGCCCCATTAACTTAGCAGGCTAACGCCTTAACCACTCGGCCAAGCTGACTACATATTTTGCTTAGAAAAGTATATACTTTCAATTAAAATGTGACTCAGATTTAGCATCTGCCATCGAAGCCATGAATAGCCGAATAGACTTTGAGCGTAGAGTAGATAACCCCCTATCGAGTGTGCTTGCGACGTGTCCACTTGAGGGTTCGATCAATGTGTCCAATATTGATCAACTCTGCACAACGGTTGATGATATGAGCACTGATGCCGACGTCTAAGAATGAGTTTACCCTTTTCGTGAAAGGACAAAATTGAATAAAAACATAAATTTGATCAGTGTCCAGTATACAAATAATAAGATTAATAATAGGCAAAATGAGTTGTCTCCACCTTTTTGAAACGGAGAAAGTATTAATAGAAGGATTTTAAATTTAACGTCATCGTTCATCAGTCAGGCAACGCAACGGTTTTTCCCGCAGAAAGAGGAGCTCATAGTACTCTTCTCTCCATTTGCCTTGAAATGTCTAGGAAAATCAAATTTGGTGATTCAACCCCGTGCCAAGCCCTGTCATCTCATGTTGCTGAGTTGGTCAGTTTGGGTGTCGTTGCTATGGGCGGTTGACGTGATGGGCGACGTGGCTTTTGCCGCCGAATCCTTCTCTGTCGCAAACGACGAGTTGGGGGTGCTTCAGGATATTCGCCGGAGATGTTGCCGAGAGCCCACGTCCGCTATCGTGGCTACTTGGTGCATTGGGGAGACCCAGCCCCATGAAAATTGTGGTGCTGGCGTTGTCACTCACCCCTGCACAGGGCGTGTCCTCAGCAATCCACTCAACAGCGACCCATTTGTCTTGGAAAATGCGTCATTCCATGCGCCGTGGTGGGGAGTTGTATGCGACGCAACGACGACCCCCGTGGCCATTGTCGAGCTCGTCCTACCCTACCAAGGATTAGCTTGCTCATTGGACTCGATCAATTTTACTGCGCTCTCGAACCTCGAGGTCCTGAATTTGGAAGGCAACGAGTTCACGGGGCCGTTGCCTGAGTGGATTGGTACGATGTCGTCGCTAGAGGTGCTCAACTTGAATGGCAACCGCTTACACGGCCCCCTGCTCGATTCCATCATCGATAACGTCAACCTGGTCGAGCTCAGCCTTGCCCAAAATGAGCTCACCGGCCTTGTGCCAAACCAACTCAAAGTCTTGCCCCTTGAGGTTCTCGATCTGTTTGGAAATCAATTTTCTGGACCGCTTCCCCCCGATGTCCTGCGCAACCCCCGCCTTCGATACCTCGACCTTTCCGAAAATGCCCTGTCGGGGCCGTTTCCCCCTCACATGCTCCTTCCGCGGCTCGCCCACTTTGACGTATCCTTCAACGAGCTCACTGGCCCCCTGCCGCCCAATATGCATCTCTTTGGACGTGACGACACGGTGCCGCCATCGCCGTCCCAACTCGAATACTTCGACGCGTCGAACAACAGACTGGAGAGCGCCATCCCTGGCCTCATCGGCCAGCTCGAACGACTCGCAGTGTTTTCTGTGCGCAACAACTCCAACATTTTCGGTAAAGTGCCGCCACTGCCGCCGTTGTTGCTGCAAAAGTTGGATCCAACAGCCTTTGATGGTTCTACCCATCATCTTGCGTGCCCTTTGCCTGACCTGGGGCCATCTCGCACGTGGGGCGCGGTGGTTTGCTCCTGCAAAGGCAACAAAACGGATGCGGGAGCATGCATGGCATGCCCTTCGGGCTTTGTGCTCGATGCCACCCTGAACACGTGTTCGGGATGCCCCCTCGGTAGCTTTCCCCAAAAGGACATTTGCGAACCATGCCCGTCAGGCACATTTGCAGCGACGCTTGGGTCCCCAGCCTGCCAAACGTGCCCAGATGGCTACACCTCGTTGTCAGGGGCATCCATTTGCAACCCTTGCCCCCCAGGAACATCCACATCCGACGAAGGAACATGTTTGGCCTGTCCTCCCGGGTTGCATGCCCCCGCCCCCGGCACGACTTGCCTCCCCTGTCCCAACAACACTTTCTCAGCAGCTTCGGGTACGATCCATTGCATCCCTTGCCCGCACAACGCTGTAGCAGACGAGGGGTCGACTCAGTGCTTCCCGTGCCCTCAAGACACAACGGTCGATTTGGGGGGGTCTCGGGGGTGCGTGGCCCAACCTCGACCGGGGACGGGGTACTTCGGAGCCAACGACGATGTCGCCGACTGCATTCCTGGTACGTTCAACGACGGCACGTTTGCTCGATGCCAACCGTGCTCTCGTGGCAGCTTCAGCAGCGGCTCTGCCGCGACGAACTGCACGTTGTGTTCGACGGGGTCGTTCACGAACACCACAGGCGCGAGCCAATGCGTCTACTCCCCACCTGGGACATATACTTCCACTCTGGGAGCGACGGAACCAACCTTTTGCGCTCCAGGCTCGATCAGCGACGTCGCCGGGGCGACGCAGTGCTCGCATTGCCCAAAGCACACAATGGCGCCTCGGTTGGGATCGTCTGCGTGCATGTTAGCCCCGCCAGGGTCTGTGCTCAAAACTACAGCGTGGCCGAGCTTCCTTTTGACACTTTCTCAGCCGCAACAGTTCCGCCTCGACGACTTGAATATGTCCAAGATAACCGAGATCGTCCATCACGCATGGCTGTTCGTGTCGCCCGAGCCCATGTCGTCTTTGGTTGTCAGCACATTTGACAACAAGCTGGCCAACAACCAGCAGTTTGGAGGAACGTCCAGTGTGAGTTTGCATGTGGTGCTCGACACACACGCGACGACGCTGGAGCTCTTACAACACATCCCGGCCTACCTGGTTGTACTCGACATGCTGCTGGACGAAGCCGCCATGCTCTTGGTGACGGATGATGCCCCCACTCGCCTTGACGTCCTCCAGCCCCTCCAACTCCCTGTGGCCGTACCGTGCGGTAAAGGCACGTTTTCGAATGGCACGCATTGCGTCGACTGTGGCGTTGGAACGTTCAACGATCGTCTTGGCGCGACCAAGTGCCACAAGTGCCATCGGGGAAGTCGTGCGTCTATTTCTGGCAGCCACAAATGCACACCCTGTGGTCGCGACGAGTTTGCAGATGCCACGGCTACCAAGTGCATGGAGTGCCCGACGTTTTCCATCGACCTGAGCTTGGTGTGCCCCCAAGCGAATGGTCGGTTCATATGGCTTGTCTTTTACATCTTGTACTACCTCCACTTCGTCTGGACGAGCCATCTTTATCTGTACGGGCAGCCCACTCGAGCTCCACCGCTGATGGCGTCGTACCGGGCGAACGGCGGCCAGACCGTCAACACGGCGATTGTGTGGCCGCCCCCCATTGTCATTTCGGCCGCCACCCTGCGAAGTAAGCGCGGAATTTAGCCGCTCCTCCAATGCTCTCATTCGGCAAAGTAACCAAGCTGTACAGAGCAATATTCGAGTGTGCACTTTGCCGACTGTAACAAATCTCGTGAAAAGTAGCCTGGCGGGTTCGCCTTGCTGGCCATTGGGATGTGCTAACGGCCATCGTGGCAAAAACCATGGCATTAGGATGTCGCAGAAGAGGAAGCCCCAGTTTCCTCTGCGACGAGCACTCTCCCTCGGACGAGATTCCTTGATCTGTTTTCTCGATGGCAACCGTAACACCACACTTGAATTCCGCCCCTACTTCGACATTCAACATGCTGGACGTGTCGTCGCTGGTCCAAGTCGTTCTCGCGGCGATTGTTGCTCTGGCGGCGCACAGGTCCTTGACGGCCCGTCGCCCTGCCAATTCATTTCCGTCCGTCCCGTCGTGGATTCCGTTTTTCGGCGCGAGCTATCACTTTCGGAACGGTCCCCTTGCCCCCTTGCAAACGTACACGGCCAAGTACGGCCCCGTGTTCAACCTGATTGTGCTGGGTAAGACCATCACGTACGTCACGGATGCCTCCCTCTTCCCCCCGCTGGTCAAGTGTCCAGCCCTCGGGCTATTTCCCCTCAAAATCAAGTTTTACGAACGCGTGTTTGGTTCGACGTCGCATGATGATCCTGATGTGTTTGGCTTTTTGGCCAAACACACGCGGCATAATATCCTGACGCATTTGAGTGGGTCGTCGCTGGCGCAGTGGACGGCCACGAGCCACTCGTTATTTCAAGCCAAGGTGGCGTCAGGCGTCGCCAAACTTGCCACCGACGGGACCTCCTCGCAAAACGCCAACACCGTCTCCGTGTATTCGTGGCTCTCGCCCATAGTATTCCAAACGCTCGTCGATACGTTCTACGGCCAAGGAATGTGCACTTTTACGTTTACAACCGACTTCGACCTTCTTGAGAGCAAAGTCGTCGCGCTGTACGCTGGTGCCCCTGCCAAGTGGCTCAAGGTCACCGAGCCCCGCCACCGCCTGCTCGATGCCCTTCGCGAATACATCGATGCACATATCGACACGGGTATGTGCAGATTCCGTCCAGCGAGTGCGATTCCTCAAGACCCGTTGTAGTGACACCCATCGTGAGCGAGCGGTGGCAATTCTGTCGTGAGAAAGAAGTCGACCAAGCGGCGTACCAACTCGCGTTTGTGTGGGCGATGACGTCCAACATGATCCGAACACTCTTTTGGTTGCTGTGCCACCTCCAGGACAACCCCAACGCATGGAACGCCGTCGAGGACGAAGTCCGTGCGTGCGCCCAAAAGGCTGCCACCCCGCTCTCCGAGGCCGTGCAAGGGTACGTAGGATCATTCTTGTTTCACCATGGTGCGTGCAACGCTAAGCTTTGTTCAGGTGCCCTCTCCTCGACTCGGCCGTCAAGGAAACGCTGCGCCTGAGATTTTCGGGCAGCGTGCTTCGCGTCGCGGTGGCCCATGCAACGGTGGACTTGCCAAACGGCACCCAGCTCGCGATGCAACCAGGGGATGAAATCATGTTGTGGGGGGGACTGGGCTACCACGATCCTACCCGGTTTCCCCATCCCCATGCGTTCAAATTCGATCGATTCGCGCGGCATCCTGAACTTGCTAAGGACTTCCGCCCCTTCGGGCTTGGCAAGTTCAACTGCCCTGGTACGTGAGTGGCTTGTGCGACCCTACTATCCCTTGCGAACTCACGAATTGGAGAAGGCCAATATTTCGCCGTCGAATTTGTTAAAGTTGCCATGGCGACTTTGATTCTTGACACCGAGATCACGCATTTTGAAGGCCAGGCGATGCCGAATTATGCAACAGCGGGCGTGTTTGCGCCAACAGACACGCAAGCCGTCCGCATGTGCATTCGACCAAGACCTGGCGCAGCAGCTCCACAGCCGCACGACGCCAAAATTCATGTGCCCATCTCGTGTGCGTAAAACTGTCGCGATGTAATCTGGGTTTGTACGTCTTGTTTTATTCGACTGCATTTCCAACAAGTCAGCTTGGCCGAGTGGTTAAGGCGTTAGCCTGCTAAGTTAATGGGGCAACCCGCGTGAGTTCGAATCTCACAGCTGACGTTTCTTTTGCACTACAACACTTCCGTCACGACACTGCCACTTCTCGAAGCTCAAGTCACAAGCAGTCGCATGGTTTGTGCAGCTGCGGAAGGAATCACCTGCTCGTTTGAGGTGAATTCTCTCTACTCGACTGGGGAGATGTCGTTGAAGTCACAACATTGGTATCGATCGCGTTGACAGCCTGTATTGACAAACTACAGTCGTGGAATCGAAGCCACTCGAGACATCCGTGCTATGGCCGGGTTTTGTTTGTGGAAAGGTAGGTGTTTGAGCTGGCGTCGGCATGCTGCGTTGACAATTTGTTAGGAGACATAAGAATAAGTGTTTATGTCGCTGGGGAAGGTGAAGCGTAGGCGAACCAAGTCAGCTTGTGCGTGGATGTGGACCCAGGACATGTCAACGGTGTTGAATTCTGCAAATGCTTCCACACACTCCAAAGTAAAGCATTTCAAGTGAATCACGGACGTCTTGCACCGCAGCTGAGTCAAGGCAATGGGTGTCGCGACGTGGATTCCAACGAAGGCAGACTGAACCTTCGATCGCTGGACAAGCTGCGAGCGATTGGGGATACAAGAAAGCATTGCCTATTGTGGGAGCCACAGCGAGTGCTGGCATCGCTCAAGCCATGCAAACAAGGAACGAAGCCACATTCTCCTTTGTCGCAATATGCTCGAAATCCTGGGAACGCCAAACCTTCGACTTTTTCCTCGCAACCGTTCAAGATCGCACGAAACGGTTAGTCCCTCGGTTTAAGCACTTCCTTCTTCTCGTCATTGCATAAAAAATGAAAATTCCCTGGTGATATGGACGTCTTGTCCTTGTGACCATTGTTCGGAGCGAATTTCTTCCAGCACATTTTGCATTGCATCCCGCACGAGAGCCAACGACATGCACCGCGGGTCGTCTTCGCTCGATGCAGACCGCCCCACGACTGAGTACAAGTCCCAGCAATCCGATCAGGGCACCAAAGTCGATATGGTCGACGTTGCTGTTGCCCCGCCCGAGGTTCCTTCTTCCTCCATGTCGACCGTACGCTCCCCGTCCATATGAATCCCTTTTTCATATCGATTCCGTTTACATTGCAGAAAAAGAAGTGGCTCATTGGTGGCGCCGTCGCCGTCGTTCTCTTAGCAGGCGCGGGGGCTGCAACGGCGATTGTTTTGGTCCAGAAGAACAACAATTCGTCCTCAACATCATCTTCGTCGAACGCCAAGGGCCCATTGACCACCGCGGCACCGACGATTCCCCCCGTGAACGACGGGGATCTCCTCGGCCCATCGGGCTCTGTAACCAACTCGACGTCGAACGAAGCAGTCGTCCCGTCGAATCCGAAGTCCGACCCCGAGTCCGCGCCGACCGCGTTGACAATGCTCGCAATTGGCGACTGGGGCAGTACGACCGGCAAAGAATTTGGCGTACCGGGGTCATGCTGCAAGCTGTACAAGCCCAGCAACAAGCTGGACACGAGCAAGGATCGGTACAAGGTCGACTTTTGGTCGCAGCGGTATGTCGCGGCGCTCATGGCGCTCTCGGCCGAGCAGCTCAAACCCGTCCGCATCATTGGCCATGGCGACAACGTGTACTGGAATGGCGTCGGGTCGCTGGACTGGCGCTACCGCTTTGAAGAAACGTTCGAGAAGGTGTACAGCGCGCCGTCTTTACAAGGCATCAAGTGGGTCAATGTAGCCGGGAATCACGACATTGGCGGGTCCATGTTCATCTGCGGCGAGCAGGACAACATGTTTGTCGAATGCGGCAGCACGGCCGAGATGCTCAAGTACCTCAACGAGCGATTTGACCTCCAGGCGCAGTACAAGAGCGCCAACCAGGATCGGTACGTGGCTTTGCCGCGCGACGTCTAACTGCGGGGTAGTTGGCTCATGAAGGACCACTACTACGTCGAAAGCGTGACCAAGGATGGCGTCACCGTCGACATTTTCAACTTGGACACCAACTACGCCGACAGCCATGGCGCGCGCCAGGTGTGCTGCCAGTGCTATGGGTACTCGCAAAAGTATGGCTACGACAGCTCGAAATGCAACGATGTGGTGCCTGGAGACCCCGCGTGCGCCGGTAATTGTGAACTTGTGCTGGCGGTTGCGATGGGGCTCACCGTGCCCTGCCTGACGCAGGCGGCAGCGCTGACATGTACAACGCGTGCATGGACCAAATCGATGCGTGGGCCGTCGACTCGTACATGCAGGCGGCGCGCGACATGAAGGCATCGACGGCGACGTTTAAGATCATCAACACGCACTACTCGCCGCATTTTCACATGACCCCCGACAAGATGAAAAAGTGGTACAAGCTCACCAAGGACGCGAACGTGGCGATTTGGTTCAACGGGCACACGCACGGATTCAACCACGACATTGCGAACTGGGGAACACGTACGTTGTCGCGGTTCGAGTCGCGCTAAACACGGCGTAGATTTCATCGAAAACGGCGGTGGCGGTGGCATCGTGACCGAGTCGTCGACGGGTGCCCAGAACGAATTCTTGAAAAGCCAGTGGGTCGCTGCGGGCAACCCGTACGGGTACATGGAGCTCACGTTCTCCAAGGACTGGCTCAAAGTGCAGTTTGCCTCGTTCGACACCAAGTGGCAATTTGGCGGGCTCAATTTTGCCGACACGGTCCAAGGGGGCATTCGACGAGGTCACTGCTGGCACATCCCCAGCGCCAACTACACCGCACTCGGTGCGCTCGGCGTCCCGTGCAAAGACTCGGATGACGGCGTCGTCGGAGCCCCCATCGTGTAAGCCGCGTGTGCATGCATGCGACTCTTGTGTATATATCTTTCTCGAATTACGTCGTCGTCGTCTACATGCTATTTGAAGGCAGGGTACACATGATCATTCCTTGATCCTGAACGGTAGTCACGTTCTTGAGGGCGCTGGCAGCTTGCAGAGTAGATCTCCCTGTGAGGGTAGAGCAGAGCTGGCCGTCAGCGCCATTTATCGCGTGGATCTCTGCCGCACGAGGGCTCGATTCGTTGGAGTGCCACTGTCTCCAATACACTCGCCGTACTTCAAACACCGGCATAGCGGGACGATACCGACATGGACACCACAAGCAGTAGAAAAGCGGCAGCTGCGTGGAATAGCTCGCGTCGGCATGCACCCTGCCGCCGTGCGGAACGCGAGCCTGACTCGGCAATTGCACAGCCTGCACGGCCGCTCGTGTGACAACGCTGTGGTACACTGTACCGCTGCTATGTCAATGATTTTATTGTCCGCTTCATGGATTCTCGCTCACTTTTAGACTTGATATTTGTATGCTGGCCTTGTATTTTATGACAATGGCATGCCAGCCACTACAACAAAACCTTGTCACCCAAACTGTGCATGTCGTTTGCCCAAGCACACAGTCAGTTGCGAAAATGAGCACGCCTTCCCCTGCCTCTGTCCAAGTCCGTCGTCCCGCTTGGGTCCATGAGAGCCACACATAACTCACATTCGCTGCCGCACTAGGTGCCTGCGCGCACGGAAGCCGCGTCGTTGTTGGGTGGTGGCGGTGCCCGGGCCAGTAGTGCCAAGGTACGTGGGTCGTGCCTCCAGCATAGACTCGATGAACTCACGTTTGCGAGTGTCTTTAGAACACCAAGTTCATCGTTCTCGGAGTGGCCGCTGTGGCAGCCGTCAGCACGGGCATCTACTTTCTCGTGAGCCCATCCAACAACGTGAATGTTGTGCCTGCCAACGTTGAAAACGGCAACAACGCGACGAGTCTGACCACGGCCGTCCCTGCCACGACCGCGTCGTCGACGCCGACCGCTGTCACGGCCACCACGACAACCGCTCCCGCGTCTGACCCGGAAGACATGGTCCCGGCCTTGACCTTCCTGGCCATTGGCGATTGGGGCAGCACTGTCGGCAAGGAATGGGGCGAGGCTGGTTCATGCTGCCGCATGTACAAGAACGGTACCGTTGGGTTTCCTCCGTGAACGTCCGCGTCGACGGTATTGATCGAGCGAGCGTTGTGCCATAGGCCAAGTCGACACGTCCACGCCTCGGTACGAAGTCGACTACTACGCTCAAAAGTACGTCGCGACGTTGCTGGCGCAATCGGCCAAGGAGCTCAAGCCCGTTCGCATTCTCGGCCACGGCGATAACTTTTACTGGAACGGCGTCGGCCCGTGGGATGTCAACTACCGGTTTGCCGAAACGTTTGAGAAGATGTATGCCGACCCTGCTTTGCAAGGTATGCTCTCATGGACGTGGTGACGGCGGTGGACTTCATCGGCCGCGCACACAGGCATCAAGTGGCTGAACGTTGCTGGGAATCACGACATTGGTGGGTCGGCCTTCATTTGCGGCCCCCAGGACAAGCAATTCCGTGAATGCACGTCGGTCGAAGAGATGCTCAAGGATTTGCGCGGGCATTTTGACTTGCAAGCCAACTACAAGAGCCCCAACCAAGACCGGTACGTAATTTCGGTCTCGAGCCAGCCAGCCAGCGCGCATTGGCCTCGTGTTCTAGTCTGCTGGTTTTTTCGGCAGGACGAGACTGGCCATGCATGACGGCGCTAACCAGCCTGGATCGTCCATGGTAGATGGCTCATGAAGCACTACTTTGTCGAGCGCGTGACCAAGAACGGCGTGACCGTTGACGTGTTCAACTTGGACACGAACCATGCCGACGCGCACGGGGCGATGCAAGTGTGCTGCCAGTGCTACGGGTACGCCGCCAAGCTCGGGGTCGACAACATCCAGTGCCGCAACACGAACGTCGGCGATAACATTTGCGCTGGCGGAAACGTCGAGATGTTCAACACGTGCATGGCCGAGATCGAGTCGTGGGCAGCCGACTCGTACACGCAGGCGGCCCGGGACATCAAGGCGTCCAACGCCGACTTCAAGATCATCAACACACACTACTCGCCGCACCACCACATGAACCCGGTCCGCATGAAGATGTGGTATGACCTGACCAAGGATACCGGCGTCCATGTTTGGTTTAACGGCCACACACACGGATTTGGCCACGACATCTCGACGTGGGGCACGTACGTCCGTCAGCATCCACCCCATCATCGCAGCCATCATGGACGCTTGCTTGTAGTCATTTCATTGAGAACGGCGGCGGCGGCGGGATTCGCACCGATTCGGACTCGGCCACCGACAACGGCTTTGTCAAAACGTACGTATGCTTCATATCTCGGGCGAATCGGTCGGTCGCGACCTGCGCTCACGGGGTTGTTGTAGGCAATGGGTGGCTGGGGGCACCCCGTACGGGTTCATGGAGCTCTCGTTCTCCAAGGACTGGCTCAAGGTGCAGTTTGCCACGTTCGACAAGAACTGGAAGTTTGGCGGATTCAAGTACGCGGACGCAGTCTCGGGCGGCATCCAGCGCGGCCACTGCTGGTACGTCCCTGCCGGCAACCAGACTGGTTTTCCCGGCAAGGAGTGCAAATCGTCCGTCAACTATGCGATCGGCGCGCCTCTTCGTTAAGCGACGAGACTTTAAACATTGCCGTGGTTGCACACTCATGTTCTACTACTCGTCCTGTTTCGACGCTGTGTCTGCGGCATCGACGACGCCGTCGGGCTGGTCGCTAGCCACGTGTGAAGTTTCGTCGTAGCCGCCTTGGATGCCCACTTGCTCCGTCGAGAATGGTTCTTTCGGAGCATCCACGGAGGCCTCGTCGGGCATAGAACCTGCCGGGTCTTCGGCTTCCGTCGATGGCTCGTCCGCCGAGTCGGCTGCACGAGGCGGATCCTCGTTCGCAGGAGCTTTCACAACTTCCTCTTGGACGTTGACATCGCCGCTTGCATCTAGCACCCCTGGCGGTGTTTCTTCCGAGACGTTGGCCGCGCCAAGTTGGTCGTCGACTGGTTCGTCCACGGCGGCATTCGTCTTGTTTTCATCAGATGGTTCCATGCTTAAAGTTGTACCAGCTTGTTCATTTTCTTGACGTACTGCATCGTCTTGCACAGGCTGCTCCGCATCGACCGTCCCTTCGATCGATGGAGCGGCTGCAGCATCTATCTCCGACGTGCTTGGCGCTGATTCCTCATTCATTGCAGTAGACGTCTCGTCGGCTTCGTACGGTTGGCTTTCGAGTTCTCGTTGCGCAGGCTCCGACGTGGACGAAGGGCCTTCGGTATCGTTGTTGGCAGCATTTTCTCCAGCACCCATGGAATCGTCTCCTGGCACCGGCGCATCACCTTCGTTCTTGAAAACACTGTCGTCCCGGACCTCAGGTTTGACCGGTGAAGTCGGACTCCCAACTGGAGCGGCGGCATCAGGTGCTGCCGACGCAGTCTGCGGGGCAACAACAATGGGCTCGGGAACATTCAGGGGGACAGTTACACCATTGGAAGCCACGGGCTGTTGTGGTGCGATGTGCGCGGGAGGCGCTTGGTGGTGGACTTGAGGGCGGGGAGCAGACTTGACAGGTGGCTCAGTGCTTTCATCGGCCCACTTGGCCAACGTCATGAGGTTTCGATTGAGTTTCTTGCGCTTTTTGTCCAGTTTGTCCTGAACATCGGCCAGCTGCGCCCCCCGTTCGTGCTTGACCGAGTTGTTGAGCTGGATGATTTCTACAATGAGCGCCGAGTTCTCGTCCAGCATGCTCTACCAGTGAAGAACCATCAGGGCTCATTTGTCAGGTAAGCGCGCATTATCTCTCTACCTGAATATTCTCCGTAGAGATATACTTGTGCTCAGGTTCCATCGTTGCAGGGAGGGCAGCGGCGACGGCGGCGGCACGCGCGTTTGGGAAAGCAAGAGTGCCGACCATCCACCTCGCTGATTGGTTGGATCATAACTTTTTTTCCCGAAATATAGCAAAAAAATAATGCGTTCCACACTATATCCTGAACGGAGTATCGATCAAAGTATTATTTGTATTGGATAAAATCCATGTAGAAACCATCGGATTGGCCATAATTCACTAAGATTTCGCGTCCATCGAATCACAAATACAGTGCGAAAATATGCCTTCTTTTGTTAATGTTTTATGATTCGAGCAGTTCGCGCCCAGACATGCCGAGCTCGCCAAGCCATCGTCGAACCCAGGGCCCCATCGCAATCCCTCTGCGAAGGCTACTGGCAGTCGAAGAAAACAACGGTGGAGATGAGGATCTGAGACCCTTGAGGCTCCCCGTATGCGGCAGTCGGCGTGCTTTGTACAACAGGGTGGCTTTGGCTTGGGGGCCGAGGTGGGGGAATCGAAATGACTTGATAACATCGATGGATGTGTTTTCCCTTGACGTGCGAAGGAGGGGCTTGAAGTACACGCCGCCGTTGCAAAGTCACATTGGCTACAGAATGGCTAAGGACAGACTTGATCCCCACGTTCAAAGGTTAGCCATGGCTCTACCGCTTCTGCTTTGAGGACCTTTCACATGTTGTTGAGGCGTCATTGCCCCCCGTGAGCGCCACACGACGCCCGCCTTGTGGCTTGAATCTTACCATCCGCCCTGACATGGTGTAAGTTCGGGTGTCCCGCCTCCGTTCGGCCCATGAAGCATCGTTCGGCATGCCACGTTTCCTGCTATTCCAAGCTCTTTAGCTGTTGCTGTGGGCGGCGCCAAATCGCCTGGCAGCTAGAATTGGAGCCCTCACTTCCGTAGCACACCGTGAGTTTGTCGGAGGGGGTGGGGGCCAGTCCTTTTTCAAGCTCGCCTGGCTTGCAGGTCACAGGAGCGCTACGAGCATAGTGTGGTTTGTTCGCCCGCTTGTAGAATGCCCCCGTAGTCTCGACGAACGTGGATGGAACCAATCGTGTGGTTGTCCACCCCATTTTCGACGTTTTGCCATTTTTCAACGTTGAAAAGGCAAACGTTCCACATCAAGCCACGAGACTCGCGGGGCAAAGACGTCCTATCGACGCGATGGCCACGTGGAATTTGTCGAAGTGGCGACGCTCCCGATTGCCACAAGGGCAGAAGTGACCCGCCGTTCCTGGAAAATGGCCACACGGCGGTGGCTTTTACAGGCAATGGCTGTACCAAGGCATCATTCTAATTGCAGTTCTTTCTCTGCGTCGTCATCGCGTTTGCCAAGAACACCCAAATAATCCAACGTCCGTGCGAGCGAACCAGCGACTCGTTGGTGGGTTCCCATGTGTCGAACGTGATGCAGCGCTGCGAATCAACCCGCATGGGGCGACTGCTGTGTCGAGCCCGACTGCTGGCGGTAAAGCCAACATGCTCGTGTCCCAGTCAAGCATGGGCACCGACGCGTATGGTACGTTCGAACCACACTCCAAGTCAGTCGCACAGGTCCTCCATACCCATTCTATCACCAGAGATTATGGTCACAGCTGCGCTCAACGAGGCACCTGCGAGCATCCTCAGCAGCGACAGTTCCCGAGTACCCACGCGTCCGTGCTTGGTTGCTCCACGCCAGATGCTCATTTCAATGCCACGCAGCAAGTCACGCCATTCCGCCTTCACGCGGGATCGGTTGTGCTTGCTATCAACGAAAACACCTCGTCCGTCAACGCGCCGCTCTCGTCCTAAGTGCCGCTTCTGACGGGGTCGTTGGCTTGGAACCCATTTGACAAGTAAGCCCCCTCGTTTCCCCATCGATTCCAACTTTGTCGAGATACCTCATGAAGCTGGACGTGCAAAACGTGACCAGGACGTCCTAGTACAATGGGCTCCAGCCCATCAACGACGTCGAGTGTATCGTCCTTACTCCGAGTGACTACACGTGGTCGTACAAGGTTCGCGAGGCAAGGGCCGCCGGCTTTGGACCTGACGTGTCTGGCGTGAGCACGGTGCCGGACCCGGCCAAGGACAACACGTAATAGAATGGCGCGGTCCATTGACGGCGACCGGAACCTTGTGGATAAGTCGCTCACGATTGAAATCACGCGGGACTTCAACATGTACATGACCCTCATCTTTGTTGGGATCTGGGCTGCCACGATCGCGATCGGATGGATTGGCAGCATGTCGTTGATTTGGGAACGCCGGCCGGCTGACCATCCCGCCATCTTTCTTTCGGCCCTCTTCGCCGTCCCACCGTTTTCCAATACAGCCCTGGGAAAGGTTCCCTTCGGCTGCCTCTTTAACAATTTGTGCACCTACTTTTCGATCGGTGTCATCATTACGTTCTTGCTCCTCGTCGCGTCTGCGTACATGAAGAAGGCGAAAAAGTCGGTTCAACCCAAGCAAGGCGAAGATGATGCGATTCCCGTGGCGACTTTGGACGCAGGCGGTAACGTTGCTAGCGACGCTGGTGATTCCGGTGGAGCATCGGCCGGGGAAGCATAGAGTAGGGTGACGAAGCAGCTCTGGAAATCGAAGTGGTGGCCAGTTGTCGCTGTTTCAGTTGGTCAAACAGCCTTGAAGGCACACGCTGGAAAGCCTTGAAAAACGTGTGCTATGCGTCTGTGCGACGATGGGCAATAGCACGGACGGAAGCTCGCGCAAAGTTATCTCGTTGGCAGTGGCCACAACGAGTTGGTCGCCCCACGCGAGCCAAATCGGCGACGGAATGTACGAGCAATGTGCACGGTGTGAAACCGAATCCCGTTTCGGTGTAACGGTCGTCCAAGCCAACCATATCCATCTTGCGGTCGATCCAATGCATGCCGCCATTGTATGGACTTCGCTCGCGACGGGCGTGGTGCACAGCTGCGCTGTCTTGGGTTACTACAAACCGCCTCCGGACCAGACCATGCTGCCCGTTGCCGACGCACCGTGCGCTGGGCATGCCCCGTGTCCAAAGGGATCGTACTGCAGGTACCATGACGAGCTTGCGAGCGAAATGACGCCACCTACGCGATACTCTGCAGAAACAATCAAGCGCTGCCGTGCCTTGGTGGTTTCTACGGCAACGCGACTCAATTGTACTCGCCGTCCTGCTCGGGGATATGTCCTGGTGGCCACGCATGCCCTCCTGGCACGTACGCACTGCCTCCAACTTGTTGCAACTCTTCATCATGGGCCCTTAGAGTTACACCGATTCCCTGTGGTCATGCCAACGTGTATTGCCCTGTCGGGTCACGAGCTCCGAAGCCGATCCCACCGGGGTACTACGGCATTGGCGATACCGCCTTGACCAGGTGCACCACCTTAAACGACCCTCTCGATGCTCACGCGATCGAATTCCCCTCGTCAAGGCAATCGATTCAACTGTGCGCATTGGGGTCGTTCTGCGTGGAAGGCACAATGGCGACGTGTTTGGCTGGGACATTCGGAGCATCCAAAGGTCAGCTCGTGTTCGCATGTGCCTGTGGATGATGGTGGCATTGTAGGACTGGCTTCGTCCGAATGCACCGATGTGTGCCCTCCAGGACATTATTGCCCTGAGGCGTCCATTGCCCCCATTCCGTGCCCACCAGGTTCACGTGCTTGGGAACTGAAGCCTGCGTTGACAGATACCGTAGGCACGTATGGAGATACGACCCAACTGACCACCGCCGCTTGCACCGGCATTTGCCCGGAAGGGTTCTATTGCCCCAGTGGGACTGCTACCCCAAAGCCTTGCCCATCCAACTCGATTTGCCCCAGCGGAAGCACCGCCCCGACGATCATTCCCCACGGACAGTACCTGACCACTGTACGGCCCGATGGCAATCGTGAACATGCTTCCAAGCGCCGTGGCATCCACTAGATTCACGCCACGACGACGACGTTCGAGTCAATGCTGACGACTTGCCCTCCAGGGTCGTATTGCATCAATGGTACATAGCCTCTGCCTCGAACGCTGTTTCCTTCTGTCCCACCTGACGCTCCTGGCCGTATCGAAGGATTGGTCACGCCTTGCCCGTTGGGACGCTATGGCAACGCAACCGGGCTCACGACAGCGTTGTGTTCTGGCCCATGCCCGGAAGGCTTCTATTGCCCCGTTGGCACCGAGACGCCCGTACGGCACAGGTGATGTGGGCCGTTCTCAACCGAGTTACGAGCTAGATTGCATGCCTGGATCCCAGTACATATTGCCCCATCGAGTCGTCCAAGCCCCAAGTCGTCTCGTTGGGGTATTACTCCCTCCCCACGGCAAGCCCCACTCGGTCCCTCCAGCTTCCCTGCGACCCTGGGTCGTACTGCGCGAACGGGGTCAAGACAAAGTGTCCTGCTGGGTCGTTCGGTATCACTCTGGGGTTGACGTCATCGAGTTGCAGGTACGAAAGAGTTGTGGCGGGTTCAGTCGAGAGCACCGTCCTCGTAGTGGGACTTGTCCGGCTGGGTCGTACTGTCCTGCTGGTACCGTCGAGCCTCTGCCTTGCGGCCACCCCAGCGTCATGTGCCCGGAAGGCTCGGCCGCCCCTCAAGGTAATTGAGTCTCTCCATTGTTTTAACGACGAAGTTAACGCTGGTTGGAATCTGTAGCGATCGCATCTGGCTTTTGTGGAGTTGGGCAGACGGTGCTGACCCAAACCAGCTCGGTTGTTGCGCCATCTGGCTCGTACGCGCTGGAAGGGCAATGCTACATTTGCCCTGGAGGCTACTTTGGCGCATCCAGCGGCCAGACGTCGCTGACCTGCTCGGGGTTGTGCGCGGCGGGATATTACTGTCCATCTGGAAGCACGTCAGCCACGCAAGTTGCCTGTGGGTTGAATGCGTACTGCCCTGAAGGTTCAGACGTACCTACGCCTGTGTTGCCTGGCTCGTTCACGGTACGAATGCTCCACGTCCCTTTATCCCATGAAATGCGACCACATAGGTTTCTGCCGCAACCGATCCATGTCCCCCGGGCCAATATCGCGCGACCGCATGGTCCAACTCCAACATTTTGCTGGCCAGTTGGTCTGCAATTCAAGTGAATTACGGCGACGCGTTGTACCCGTTTGCAGCGTACGCGAGCTAGCTACAACATCGCCGGAGACGGATGGTCACCAGGTCAAATGTAGTTGCATCGCGTGCCCAATCGGCACATATAAAGCCGTCGACGGGGACAGCGTGAGTCTGTGCCAACTCTGCACCATGTACACAACCACCAGGTTGGTGTATCATGAGCAGATCAATCGATCTCACGCGTTGCCTTGGTAGCTCGTCGGACCGAACGACGTGCGATTGCTTTCGGCTGTCGGGGGGCGCCACTTGGAACGAAACCACTCACAAGCTCGTGTTTGACGGTTCAGCGTGCCTGGCAGTGCCGGCCGCGACGCTGGTGGGCTCTTGGCCATCCACTTCCCCTTCAATTGCGTACGAACATTGACGAATCCCTGTATTGTGCCCGCTAGACGCCGTCGTGGCTCCCCCCCAACACCGCCTTTACCCAGTCCAGCCAAAGCCAGTGCACTCGTGGCGCGTACTGTGTTCGAGGCCAACGCTTCCCATGTCCTGGTGGAAGGTGCTTTCTCTTGGTCGCTTGCTGCGAATTCAAGGCTCGGTCTAGGTTTGGCACGCTCGCCAAGGAAACGAACCCGCTGTGCACGGGACTATGCCGTCGAGGCCATTTTTGTCCGGTCGGCAGCACGTCCAACACTGCGGTTCGTTCCACGATTCATTGTCGCCATCCACCCTATCCTCTAAAGAATCAAATATCCTTCGCAGCAACCGTGTGGGGGCCCGCATTTGTACTGCCCTGAAGGGTCCCCATACCCGCTGCCAGTCACGGCCGGGTTCTACTCGATCGATTCCGCCCTTGGTCTGGCGTCGGATCCCGCTCGACGCGACACTCAAGCTGCATGCGAGCCGGGGTTCTATTGCCTGTACGGTCAACGATATCCATGCCCCGGCGGTCGCTACGGGTCGGCCACCGGTGAAACCAATCCTCTGGTAACGTCCCTGCTTTGCCCCTGGTTGTGGTTTTTGTTGCTAGAATTGACGGGTAGTGCACTGGTCTATGTCGTCGCGGGTTCTACTGCCCACTTGGCAGCACATCGGCCACGCAAGTACGTCGTGGAGTTGAGCGCAGGTGGAGCTCATGCCTCAAACGACGGCGGTGTAAAGGTGCCGTGCGGGGGACCGAATGTTGTGTGCCGAACAGGATCCGACAACCCCATTGCAGTCTCTCCAGGTTACTACTCGGGTAGTGATACCACGCGGTAAGCGCGACTTGGCCGATGCACCGTGGCAACGTGAAACTCGTTCGATGGAAAGGGCGGATGCCGTCTCTCGCGAAACCATGCGCTGGTTCCAAAAACCGTGCGAGCCGGGGTACTACTGCGTCAACGGGGTTCGAAGTCCTTGCCCCAGAGGCACATTTGGCAGCGGAGGGCAGCTCACGACCCCATCGTGCTCGGGCGCGTGTGCTGCAGGTAAGACACAACACCATCGCATGCAATGACTTGACATGTTTGGGAGTGACAGGGTACTATTGCCCAGAAGCCAGCACGTCGGCGACTCCGTTTTTGTGCGGGAACGTGGCTTTCTTTTGCCCCGCCGGCTCGAGTGAGCCCTTGGCAGTGGCGGCTGGATACTATACCGCCGGAGGAACCAACAGCACAAGGTTGACATGTTGGCAGCATGGCAGCTACTGATGAGTTTTCGTGTAGGGTACGACAAGAAGAGTGTGGCGTGGGCCAGTTTTGCCAAGGAGGCATTGCATACGACTGCCCTCAGGGCACATACGGCGACACCACAGGTATGCCTCGCCAACTGCGAGAAGTTAGGGACGTCACAAACTCGAGTAGGCTTGACAGTCGAGCAGTGCAGCGGATGGTGTGCAGCTGGGTTCTTCTGCCCTCCACGCAGCGCATCTGCTACGGCCAACAGGTACTTTGGCCACTAACTTGCTGGCGCTCGCAGTCGAGCTAGACGCTCACTTCACTTGACAGGTGCCCTGATGGGTACTACTCGATCCGGGGCCAAGGGTCATGCATGCAATGCCCCACGAATCGTCCAATTACACGCTGTCAAGACAAGCGAGAGTGCTGTGCGTAGCAAAACGCGCTCCAGACGCGATGCCGCGAGGCGCCGTTGTGATTTTTTGCTTGCTCTAAAAGAACAGCAGCATACGTTGCAAGTACCCGCAGCATCTTTTCTAAAAAACGACCTTGGCCGTGGCGGGCCCTTCGTGGGGATTCCGTTGGACCAATGCCACTTGACTTGGAGGTGACAGCACCATTGTCAGACTGTAGCACCCACGCGGCGCGTTTTTCAACGATGTGCCCATATTGACTATCGCAAAGTTTACTGGAGGCAATGGAGGGTGGCGCGGCTGGATTCAAACCATTCGGCGGCGGGCTTGGCAGCATGTCGACGAGTAGCGACGACATGGTGGCTGTGAAGAATCGAGACATGCTAAATACAGCTGCAGTCAACTCTTGGGCAGCACTCGGCGGCTCCACAGACAGAATGGCGCAGTGAAATAGGAAAAGTACCGAACCAGCGCATCTGTCCATGCCAACGAGTCGACGTATGGGATCAGAGTGCAATATGAGGAGGTCCATCCATCGGCCAAGCCAAATCAAAGCCCGTTTCTCGATCCAAGCACTCACGAGTGTTGTGTACGAAATTGGTGGGGGGTTCCACGGATTTCGAATCGGTTGCACTATTTTCGAATCGGTTGTACTATTTTCGAATCGGTTGCACTATTTTCGAATCGGTTTCACGTTTTTCGAACCGGTTTCACGTTTTTCGAACCGGTTTCAAGTTCGATGGGGTGAAACCCAGGAAACAGACGGCTTGTGATAGTTTGTACCATTCCTGCAGATACGAACTTCCATAGACTTGAAGGAGAATTTCATCGTTTTTGATGTCGTCCACGGAATCGAGTCCTCCCAAAAACAAGCTGGCGGTGCATGCAGTTGGCTTCATGGCCCGCAGCTCCAACGATATTTTCGCCTAGTGATCACACAAGACGTGCCCTCCCATGAGCGGAGAACTGATCTGAAGCCCTCCCAGCCGTTGACCCGCTGGTAAGTTTCATGAACGAGGATGCTGACAGCGAGAAAGAGTTGAGCGTCGACCTCGCCTTGGTGAAGAGGCAATGTCGGTAACTCCAAATACGACTCGTTGTGGCAATCTTGCGTTCAACCGTGACATGGTCACGGGTCCCGTCGAGGCTGAGTAGTTTTGCCCGCTAATGACGCGCATCGAGTTGAATTGACAACGGCGCCACGTGGGGGCGGCCACGTTGGCGTCTTAATGAAGATATTTTAGACCACGGGGGCCGCACAAGGCCTCGATAAACACAACGCCTTGTGTTCGCTTTCGATACAGTGACGATAGTACAGCAACTAGCACACGACTGAGTGTTCTGTCTCCGCTCCTCTATCGTCACCATGGCAAGACCCCCTGATTTTGATCGTGCAAAGTGGGTTGGCGTTGGCATCGTTGACTACGTTGTCGCTGCTTCACAGCAGCGCAGGATGTATAAATAACATCTACTGGGGGTGCTTCACCTTTTGCGCTCCTTTGTGGGGGTCGCCATACAAGTGACGATACGCTGTCTGTTGCAGTGGAGAGCGCCCCCACTGCACTGTGGTTAGCATCCGTGGGTGTCTACTTGGGGCCGAGCGAAGAAGGAAGGAATAGATGGAACCCAGCAACGCCCCAAGATCTCCCAACCTGTCTTGTTTTGTGAAACGACCTTCTGACAGGTTTCGACCACCGCTGCCGTCATACTTCCATATTGGACGTTCTCTGGACAAGTCCAATGCATCTACTAGTTCTTGAACGATCGAATCGCCGCTCCCCCCCCGCGACGATCTCGATATCAAACCAGCTCAAGTACTTCGTGCACCCTGTCGACTTCCCTCGCTTGACTCTGCCCATCAACCCCCACGCATGGCAGATGGAGCGAGCTGTACAAAAGCTCATATCGGTTGAATTCGAACACGTGGCCCTGACCAAACCGTTGGCGACTTCGCAACCACAACGCCACAAGTGCAGAATCACTGGCTGCACGACCGCGTCGGTCAGCAAAGGGTTGTGTGTGCAGCATGGCGTGAATTACCAGCGATAACAAACGCACTTTGACGTGAACCCATGCGCCAGTGTGTAGGGCGGAACGAAGTGCTCGTCGCCAGGGTGCACCAAACGAATGAAGCGCACTCAACGTTGCTACATTCATGGTGCGAGTCATCTGGAGAGTTGCAAGGCTTGGGGACGCAGTGCCATTCATGTAGAGGGCTTCGTCATGTGCTCCGAGCCAGGGTGCATCAGGAAGGCCAAGCGATGTGGACTGTGCTGGGCGCACGGAGGAGGCGTCGTTTGTTCCGTCGAAGGGTGTGCCAAGTTGTCAGTCAAAGGCAGGTTGGGTTGGACCCATGGGGGTGGGTGCCGCTGCGATGTCCATCAGTGTGGTCGACATGCGTTCAAGCGATTGGGGTTGCCCGCTCCACGCAACTCTGGAGCCTACGTCATGACTAGATCAGAGTGACATGAGCGTATGCCATGGAAGTAGGATGCAGGGACCGTTAAAACGCAGACAAAATCGAACTCTGCCACACTGAACCTGTGACGCGTTCGCAGGACGTCTCCCCGATCAAACAAGAATTAGACTCAACATTCGTCCACCCCCTTGGATGCAATGCTCAGCGCAAACCAGCTCTTCACTACTCCTGGTACGTCCAGAGAGCGATATCCACTTTTGCTGTGGCTGCAACTTCGGACAGATTCATGGTTCGCAACCGCGTCTTGGTTCGTCGTGCGTGGAAAAAGGAAAGTCAACCAAAATCGTCGTGTAACGTCATCGTCGGGAAGCGGCAATTTCAATGCACAATGTCCGGTTGACCGAGACCCGACAACCGCCGCAGCGACGCACTGGGAGATGCGAGTGGTGTTTGGACCGAACGTGCCGCGTTACATCGTCCAGCGACAGGCACGTTGGCGTCCCAGCGCGCCAGGAACGAGATGGCAGCAGCGACCGGCCAGAGAGCGATTGGGTTGTGCGACATGCTGCGGTACAACTCGAAACTGTACGAGCCCCCATGGAGCCACAACCTTTCGCGCAGGTCGCGGGCGGAACATTCTCATCCACGCGCTTGTTTCTGTGCACGATATTAATACCCCCCGTTCGAGGGGCAACGAAAATCGTCGACACTTGCGTGGCAACAGGCAACCAGCGTCCTAGGCTGTCGGTCGCGATTTATCTCGGGCGCCCATGTTGGTTCTTTCTTGGCGTTCCAGGACCACACGATCGACCGCGGTCCCTCTCGTCTCGGACGCGCCATCTCGAAACCACTTACGGAACAAAACGGTTTGAAAACGGCCGCGACCGACTTCGACCACCACAGCAACATTATTCCCGAATTGGGCTCTGGGGTCTGCAACTCGAAAGCCCCAACATGCGACGCTCAAGTATCACATTCCTTCTCAACCACGAGCCCTCGCAAGACGAGGGCACTGCTGCACGTTGGTGCAAACCGGCGCAGGGCAACACGCCGCCACGGGTTGTAAATCCGGACCCGTGGAAGCTCGAGTCGGCGGTGCAAGAGCTCATTTCAGTCGAATTTCGACATGTGTGCCGGACCAAGCCCATGGCGACGTCGCAGCCGCACCGTCACAAGTGCACCGTGAGTGGCTGCACCACGGCGTCTGTGAGCAAAGGCCTTTGCGTCCGACATGGAGTACGTCTCTTTTGTGGTCGAAGGCCGTCGTCGATGTTGTTCACGGGGCCAGTAGGGCGGAACCCGGTGCTTGGAGCCGGGGTGTACCAAAAGGACAAAGCGCTTTCAACGGTGCTACATGCACGGTGCGAACGGGAATGTGGTCGACAACGGTGCGAGCTCACTGCGTCCATCGCGTAGGGGGCTTCCTCATGTGCTCGGAGCGGGGCTGCACGAGCAAAGCGAAGCGATTTGGACGGTGCTGGGCGCACGGAGGAGGCATCGCGTGCTCGGAAGAAGGCTGTGGCAAGCTGTCTGTCAAAGGCGGCCTGTGTTGGACCCATGGAGGCGGGTGCCGCTGCAATGTCGACCAGTGCGGTCGACGGGCGTACAAGCGGTTCGGGTTTCGGTGCCAAGTGCACGCCACTGGGTCGTCTCAGTTCGAGTAGAGGCGTTGAATATATACCACCACGTCAGCGGAAACGACCGATTTTGCACATGCCATCTCGTCTGTGATATGACCGTAAGGATGGCCTAACATGGCGCCCCCAAACCGAGTCAGCCACGGCCCGTTTCGAACAGTCATGCGCTTGGACATCCCGTGGGACCATCAGCCCACACCAGCCATCCGTGCGATTCTAACGTAGTATACCGTTCGTCGCCGCCTCGTCAACGATCGAAACGGAATCCCACCGCGACCGCGCATGAATGCTCGCGGACACTGCCACCCCGCTCCACACGCAACCGTCGGAATTTGCAGCAACGAGATATCACCCCCCCACCGGCCGCACAGATAGCACTTGGGTGCGTATGTGCTGGGCGATGCATGGATAACATGGATCTTGTGGGTTCGATGTCGTCTGCTCGCTGGCCGTGTCGATAGGGTCAAGCCCGTCCCAGACGCGCTTGGCCTTCGCGACATGCACACCGGTCGGTGCTCAACTCCACTGTGGGCCATCCAACTTTAAAGTGCTCTTGCTTCCCATGCAATGACCCATCGAAGTGTTGGAAGCGTTGGTTGCGGCGCGTGGCTGTGCCCGGTCTCGTTTGGACTGGGCAGTTAGGTGCGCCACCAACTTCAACGGCTTGCTACGGTCAGCCGGCCCCGCTTCACGATGCCATCCTAGCCAGGCACCCACGTCGCTCTTGGGGGAAGCGGTCGGGGCGTGCACCGTTCGGAATGCAGCACCGCATTTGTTTGGTTGGGACGTGCCTGCCACCAACGTCGATCCTCCATGCAGCATGCTTTCGTCCCCACTGTGTGAGTTCCCGACGTGGAAATCTCATCCATTTGCGGCTGCAAGTTCAAGACTCCCGACGCGGCGGGGTGGTCGCGGCATTCTCCTCCACGTGGATATGCCAACCGGTCCTCGACGATTGTGTCGAACTGTAACCAAGCGAGCGGTGCATTCAATTCGTCATAGACGAGGGCGACGCCCCACTTGCATATTGACCGCACAACCAATTACCTCTGATGCATACGTGTCTACGAAGTTTGCTTCGACCTCGACGAGATGGCACCTTGTCCTGATTCTCTGGTACGAATCGTCGCCACCGTCCTACCGTCAAAATCTGGAATGTAGCCAGCACAACAAGTGGACGTCGGTGGAGAACCGGTCGCTATCCCGCTACACCAAAGGCACTCCTGGCCACGACGCCCCCTCTACAAGAACGTGCATCCCCGCCGCCGTGACCCGCCAAATCCCCCCCAGTACCAAATCTTCGTATCACCCGCGCTGCACGAGATCCAGCGACCGTGGCCGCCCCCCTGCGGCACCAGGCGTAACATATCACCCGATTTTGCCCCACCAAACTTTGCCGAACTACAGTAGTATGGTAGGAGCACCGGCGCTGCGCTCGAGGATTCCAGCAGGACACTCCAGCGTTCGATTGTCCACACCACGGTACGACATCGAATGCGGCCGAAACTGGGTCGCTGTGGCCATGTGCTTCACTGACTTCCAGCCATCGGCAAAGATTCGAGAAATATGAGGACAGGGTTGGCACCAAGAGCGCAGCATGGTGCCAGGGCAACGTAACGGTTCGAATTCACCCCGTGCTTTGCGCTTTCAACCTTCATTTCCCAATCCGACCAGGCAGAGAGACCAACGACACGATGGTCCTTGGCAGCGTCGACGTCGTTGCCAAGTCCAGTGTTGAGTACATTTTGAACCCGCCCTGCGTCGTGCCATGCCACTGGGAAGCCCCCAGCTTCGTTGGCCCTGGAAAACGGTCTGCGGCGGCATCGATCCAATCTCTTTTGAACGACGACTGGTCGCCCCGTGCCACCCACACATTGACCAGTACGACCCATCGCAACAAGTGCAACGTCGACGGCTGCGCGACTGCTGCAGTCAGCAAAGGGCGGTGTGTTCGCCACGGGGTACAGAAACCAACCACACCTTCACAACGTTGAACCGCTCACATTGTGTGCCTGTGAATTCGACAGGGCGGCACCCGCTGTTCGGTGGCGGGATGCACGAAGCGTACGAAGCGGTTCAATCGGTGCTACCTTCATGGTACCGTCGACTTGGCGCGGGGGAGGCGTCTTTGTCATGGACATGGTTGTAGGGGGGTTCGTCCTATGCTGCATAGAAGGCTGTACGAGCAAGGCCAAGCGATATGGTCGGTGCTGGGCCCATGGAGGTGGGGTGCAATGCACCGAAGTGGAATGCACCAAACTCGCCGCGAAAGGGGGGCTCTGCTGGTCACATGGTGGAGGTACGATGCCCGTCCTCGCAATGACTTGACGTGCGGTAGGACACCGGTGTCGGGCCAGCGGCTGCGAGCGACGGGCGTACAAGCGGCAGCACTTTTACTGCGACGAACATGCTGATCTCTAATTTATGAAACACGTCTTCGTTCCAATACGTGCCATGAGGGCAAGTGGCGGCGGCGGGCTGCAGTCGACTCGAGCGAAAAATCGCTGGCGCTGCTGTACAACGTGGTCGCGTACTTGACAATCTGATCAAATGGATGCCAAACTCAAAATATCGAGCAAAATCGCATCTTAGCCCATGATTGGCCAAATTGCCATGTGGGATCAGAGGCGCCAGGATATCAAGCCTATGATTGGGCAAATATACACTCTTCAGAGCCCTCTGATTGGCTGATTGGAGAAACTGTGACATTGAATATGTTGACATGCCTCACGCAGCAACGTGACCACAGTCGACCTCGATGCGGATCCTTCACTCCTCGCACACAATGAGCTACATCGACAAGGACAGCTCACCTTTCACTAGCTTAACTGAATCACCACGCTACATGACGCGGAGGCGGTTGGTGCTTGCAAAATACCGGTCGTTTCAATCGACCATGGTTGACGTGGTCGAAAACTGCATGTTTTAATATCTCGGTTGGTCGACCAGCGCCGTCCACGAGTTTTTTGTTGTCGCGGTCGTAGGTGCGAGTACAACGTTCTCGAGTTCACGGTACCACACGCGGCATCATTACGTCGTTGTTGCTTGGCTGCGACCTCTCCTGCTCCGCCCCCACGAGCTACTCACGCAAGTTGATCTCGCGGGCTGGTTGGGTGTGTGTACCACAGGGAAGCGGCCACAAAAACATGATGGGATCCTTCGCGAACCCACCACACCGAAAGCCCCGATCGACCACCGACAACTCTGACCGCCAACAAGCGAGGCAGGGGTACATATGTCGGCCACAGAGGCCACTTCTGGCCACTGATCTCGGCCTCTCTGTGTACGTCGGTTGGTTGAATAACGAGAGGTCATGACTGTGGTGCGGCTTCGGCAATCAGAATAGCGCACACGTGTTTGGCTGCCAGTAGCGATCGTGTGGGTATGATGTTTGCGAAGGACGGGGTCTACCCACACATGTGTGGATGCGTGTTGGCGACGTGGTTGCCGCACATGACTTCGTTTCCGCTTGGATCGACGTGTCTCTGTTTGGAACGGGAGTCGGTTCAGCGATGGATGAGTTGTGCGCACCAACAAAAAAATTTCAACCGTGATGCTCCACATGTCGAGGAAGCCGCCACGACGTCAAGAAGAACGCTGGATTGCATCGGTTGACATGTTGTCGAAATCCTCGGCCGTGAAGCACGTCGAGCCGGTGGCACCAGTGATGACCTCATTTATCTAGTCGAGAAGGCACCGCTTCATCGCTTCGTTCGTGACGAACATGACGGCAATCGATGGAATGACCTTGACCGAGTTGGGGACAAGGCCCTTGTAGAACCCGACGATCCCTTCGGTCTGGTAAATGGAGCGGACGGCGTCCCACGTGCCGGTGTATTGCTAGCCACAAGTAAGCAGATGGACGGGAAAACATGCTAGCTCCACGATACCTTCTCACTCAACGTGTTGAGTTGGAACCGACGGCGCATCAAGTCAAACGGGTACGCAGCCGACTGGCCGCACGCCCCAGCGATGGCCCCACACCCCAATAAGTACAGCATGTCCTGCCGGCCAAATTCATCTAGCCCAACGAAACCATCCTTGAATCCACCACGCGCGCATTCCCCATTGATGCAATGGATCGAATCGATGTACCTTTCGGAGCGTTCTGGCGCAAGCTCTCAAACACCATAAAGTTGAGGCCAACGTACGGCGCGATGCCAACGATAGTGGGCGACATGCCACGGTAGAGCCCCTTGATACCCTCTTGCTGCACCGTCACTTGTAATGCGTCTGCCGTTCATTCATTCAAAGCTATGTGAGCCATCCATGCATTCGAACTCGATGGACGTACGAAAGATGCCGTTGTACTGCTGCGATGTCAAATTGCCTTGAACCGTGATGCGTGCCCGGATAAAATCGAGCGGATACGTCACTGCAACCTGCCAACACTTGTGAGCACGCCCCTGGCTACAGCACGACGACGAGGCTCACCGAGACGACGCCAGCAATCGAGCCTGCAATGAGCTTGCGCACTGGGCTGAGGTCCGTCGTGCCTGCCTCGGCCAGCACTGGTCGGAGTTTTTCAAACCTAATTCGTGCCAGTCAGATTTGTACTTTGGTGTCGGGAATTGGTCGAACAACGCACGCGGCAAATTGAATGGCTGTGTACGGAAACACGCGGACGCAGTTGGCACCGTTGCCCTTGAACATCCCACGCCACCCTTCTTCGACCATGATCTTGCGAAGGGACTGCGCCATGCTCGTGTACTGCTTTGGTTCACCGCCCCGCTTCATCACGTCCTGCACTTGGTACAAGATCTTCAGGCGCTCCAACGGAGCCACCGCCGTGCGCGAGGCGCACCCAGCAACTACCTCGGACGTTCTGCATAAGGACACACGTAGCCATGCAGTACATACCGCCACCGCTGATCAAATGCTTGGTATCCTTGGACAAAAATGGCAACGTCGACGACGTCGTCTCGACCTTGTACGATGCTGCCATGGTGGTCGTATATGCTGGTTGGTTCAACACGCAGCTCGACGTCACCGTGCCCCGGGGCATCTATCGATAAGTTGATATATTTAAAGATTTGCAAATTTCTCGTTTCCGATTCTATAGCTGGATATTTGCCAAATTATTCATGTACTTCGAAGTAACAGAATACGGGGCTTCCATCGCCTCGTCTTTGCAATAATATGTTGGGATTACAGTCATTGCTACGGGGCTTCCATCGCCTCATCTTTGCAATAATATGTTGGGATTACAATCACAAGTATTGTTACAATGAATACATCAATAATTGCTCCTTGCACAAGACAACTCCGGAGTGCACAACCAACATCTGCAGAAAATCTATTTCAAATCGATTTAGACTTCAAATTTTAATCGTCAACAATATTTGTGCTGTTCTGCAAGTTGTGATTGTTCAAGTTTCGAAGACCGTACCATCGCAGGCGATAATATTTTAGGTTATGTCAGACTTGTCCGTCTCATGCGTACAAATCCGTCCTTTCTTCCGTATTGAAAGTACCTTCGTCCGACATGATAGTACAAACTCCCCACACATGGCGACGGGTCCTGGCACTCTGTCCAATGTGAAAGCATGGCTGCATATTTCTAGCGCTTGAGGCCTGACCGGCCGATCCGTATCCTCGACGATATCGTGCTGGTGTGGTGGCGCTGGCAACGTGTCGCACAGGACCACTTTGCCACTTAGCGCGCATACTTGATAGTACTCATGCTTCCACCTCCGTTCCTTTGACGATAAATCACTGCCACTACGTGTGGATGTCGTGGTTTCAATTTACCGAGTAAATTTTCCCGCTTCCCACCTCGCCAGCAGCCTGATGGGGCATTTTTTCCACGAGATCGATGGAACGAGGGTACAAGCGCCACACGTGTGAAGCGGCGGCTTCGTAGGGCACAGCCTCAACGCTGTGCAGCATGTTGCAACTCCCACCACGACGTCTAATGCATCAAGTCCGACTACAATGCAGTTGTCGTCGAAAATGGTCTGGCAGCTTTCGAGGGTAAACCCAACATTGTTTCTCCAACAGGATGCACTCATGCATTGCATCTTACATCTGCACGCGTCAGAAGTCAGGAATGCCCGTACACAGGCGCATGATATCCCGCGTAAGCAGCCCTTCCAAGTCGTGGCCGTCAACCTGCACACAATTGTTGGTCAAGTGGGACTCGAAGACGGCACTCACGTGATCTTGCCACCGTAACGTCTTGGTATTGTACACATACGATCGAGAACCCGAGATCTATCGACAAGAAATCAGGGGAATGCATGGCAGTGCCGTGATGCGCGATCAACGAGTTGTACGCACGGGGGACTCCAGTTCGATCTTTTGCGACCGGACTAGCACCTTGAGTTGGAACTCGTGCGCCGCCAGGGACAACAACAAGGAATCTGTGTGAAATTTTGAGCTCACAAGGTTCACACACGAAGGGGAGAAGGTTGACGATGCAACGCCAAACGAGGCGCCGACTTACCTGGATTCGACGTTCGAGACACGACAAAGACGTCGTTCACGGGGGGATGCAGAGGCTTGAGGGCACTTTCCACTCGCGTCAAGCACGCGTTTGCCAAGACCTTGAACCTACGATGGCACGCGCGTTGCATTCAATGGAACACGTTGGCGCAACCATCGAGCGCGATGCGAACGGATGGAATCGTCATGTACCGGTCGGGTTGCAGCTGTGGCAATCCTCGCTTTTTCGTGTCAGCTGCTGGTATGGATACGTAGCTGAACGCACGGGTCGCAGCACCCACGTCGATCCACGCCACCGCACGGACGCGTCCACAGAGCATCATGACCTCGCCGCCCCGTGTTGTGTTTTCAAGGATGGGAGAGATTGGCTGCAAAAGTATCAATAATTTTGGCTGGGATTGCCAAAATTCCCAATATTTCCTGCTACAAACAACTCTTTTTGGAATAAATTTGTCAAATTCTCGAACTCATGGATCGATTTTCGGTTCGATTCGAAACACGGGGACATTTGACATTTGTGCACAATGCCGTCCACAAGGCACTAACGAGACGGCCAGCTCACTCATCGTCCTCCCCTGAATCATCCGAAACGTCGGGAGCGACGACACCATCTTCGCAGTCGCTTGCGATGTTGGCCACTTCCGATCCCTGGCGCGCCATCATGGCTTGGACGTCACCCATCGAGAGGACCTCACCCGTCGAGGCGTAGTGTTTGCCGATTCGGACTCGAGCAGCCTAGACTTGCATGAGACCGTCAAGACTAACTCTGCAACTAGAGTACACGAGGGTAGTCGCCGTCGCTGTCGCCACGCATGAGCTCGACCAAACGCCCGAGGCAGTCGACCAGAATGTTTCGCACGTTAACCGTGGTGACTTGCAGTGCGAACGAGTGCCCTTCCTTCTTGCTCGTTCGGGCCTCTACGCTCCAGCACTGCTGTTCTTTGCCCTGGGCGTCGCGCCAACTTAGCGACTTGGAGAACTGCGGCGATTCGCACCCCTTCTGCACCTTTTCAACGTCCCTGCGCCAAATCGTGAAGGTGGCAAGAGATCATGCATTTCGCATCTAGATACCACAAGTGCATGAATTTTCCTGCGTGTTTGTCGGTTTTGGAGCGTCCAACGCACAGACGTCCGTCCAATGTGAGCCACATCACACGACGGCGCGCAGGCCCGGCGTTCGGATACTTGGTCAACTGAAGCCGACTTAGGAACGACAAATGCCACCAAAGTCAAGGTGCGAACCGTACCTCGAATCCCGTGACGAGGAGCTGCCAAATGGCCTGAAGCTGCATGCGCTGGGTCTCGGTGGTACCGTGGTGCACTGGTTCAGCCGCGACGACCTGTTGCGTGCCTTGCGGTGGTTGCGTGCTTTGGCGGTGGCGGAGATGGAGAGCCGTCTTTCCTCGAAACATGCTGTGGATACGCTCCAATCCAGCCGCTATTCCAAACAGTTAGAATTCCCAGGGGTGCCATCATCTGTATGCCCGTCCTCGAGGACACCTCGTACCTGTGCCTGAGCGTCGAGGGCCCGGCTCTCGATGCAAGGCTGTACTGTGGATCTTCACGGCTTCCGCTCCCTCTGGCGGCGTACGAGTACTTAAGTGTGCAGGCGTTGGCATCGTTGTGTTGCAAACGAATGAATGACTGCACGCCCTTGACCGGTTACAAAATCGGTTACAAGTCCAAAGGTCACAGCAAAACGAGTCAAGTCGGAGGCAGAGCGCTGGCAACCCAAACGACATTAAACAAACGCAAGTGAGAGCGTCGACGCTGCAGCGGGAGCTTTCGCCCATATAGAAATATCCAACGAGCCTTGATGCAGCCCGGAAGAACGTCGAACAAAGCCCAGTTGCCCGTTGATTCCCTGCAGGGTGCACAACCTCTATTCGACAGTATACAGGAGGAGAGCGCCACGTAGTGCATTCAGTAGTGCTCTGGAATATGCTCGACTCCTGGAACGCCGGGTGAAGCACACATGACCATCGATGGCGTGCGTGGCCACAAGGCGAACCGAATACGATACAGAACATCTATTGCCGCGGCTTTTCTTGAGGCAATCGCACCAGGCATGCATCGCTGAGCTATACCCAAGAACAACCGAGTCATCTGGTGGTTCCGTTGCGAGATCGCCGCAGACCAATTTTCCAACGGCAACGGAGTACATTGCGACACCAAAGCAGCCGTGATGTTTTGTTTATGCATTGAAGAAGGACAGGGCTTGAAACGCGCGGTAGTTTGACATCGTGCGTGCACCACAAGGAGTCGTGGGTGAGGCCACGACGGATGGCTCATGTTCGCAGAACAAAGAGGGTGAAGGGGTCTGCTGGGTTGGTGAATGCGATTTTCTTGGTGGACGTTTGACCGGTCTGTAGTGTTATGGGGCCTATGCGCCACGCGTTGAGAAAACTCCTCGTCCGGACGGAAGAGCGCACCTGGAACTTGGACGATGGATGCATTTGGCAACGCGTTCATTTGGCGATGAAGTTCCCGTGAATGCTCAAACAGCGGTTCATAAAAGGACCGGAATTCGTCAAAGCCAACGCCTTGAAACGTCAAGCGGAACTTACCAGGGCCGACGAGACCTCCGCCTACGATCGAGAAACGTCGGTTAGTCGTTCAAACCACGGCGAGCACACGTGGTTGTACCTGGCACGGGCGACACGATCCCATCGTACGTTGGTCGACCGAAAAACGGCGCGCGGAAGCGATGGGAGCTTGAAATTCCGTACAAGGGCAGCGAGAAGCTTCGGAAATGTCGATTCGACGGGTCCAATTCCACAAACACGAGCCGGTACGACGACACGTACAGGCGACCGCGGATGCCATAATACACGCCGCCCTGGCCAGGGTACCCTGCGCCACTGTAGACACTGAAGCCAACGTCATTTAGGACGAAGACAAAGTTCTCGAACGGCGTGATCCGCATCGGCGACAAGTCATTGAGCAAGATTGGATCCACAGACATATCTCGGCAAAGTTGAAATGCAGCATTCCACTGGCTTGATAACGAAAATGACAGGTTTCAAAAGTTGCAAAATTTTCAAATTGACACTATTTCTTCTGAAAATATGCCTCACCTGATACTCATGCTATGCACCCTTCCCACAGGAACTGCCACCACGGACTGACGTGGCTGCCATTTACACGTACTGGTGTACGCTGTGGTTGCTGGAAGCCCAGGCACGATGCATGGCCCGTGTAACCTGATGAGTTTTTCTTGTCTTTCCCCATCTCGTCCCAATCTAGTTTGATACAGATAATTTGACATAGGATATTTATCCTTTTCTTTAACTCGTGCAATCCTAATTTGATACAGAAGTACGGCTGGTTGTGAATTTTGACTCAACAATACATCATTTTTTTGTTTCAATTGGCTGTTTCGGCGAAAATTTTCACGAAACACCTAATATGCGCTTTAGCTGTCCGAGTCGGATTCGGACTCGAAACCCGAATCAAACGTTTGTGAATTTGGGCACGGACAGCCATGACGCAACTTGGACGCCTCCGAACCTTCTCGATGAAGCACCGCGCGAACTTCGTGAATGCTGAGCACTTCTCCAGTCGCTGCAAACTGCTGCGCAATCCTCACGCGAATCGCCTGACGCATTCACGATAGTCACAAAACGACGACAATATCAACGCTAGCACCTTTGGAAAGTCACCATCCACATCGCCTTGCATGTGGTTGAGGAACGTGTTCACGTTGTCCACGATTACGTTGCGAACATGAACAGATTGCACTTGCAGCGCAAACGATTGACCGGCGTGCTTCCCGCGCACGGAAAAGCACGTTTGTTCGCGACCTCGCGTCTCGCGCCAGGACAACGATAAGTTGAATTGTGGGGCAGTGCAGCCTCTCTCCAGGCAGTCAATACTCCTGTGATTTTATCGATTCGCTTGAGCTTGCTGACAAGTCCCCGAAGACCCACATACCACAATGAAATAGCTTTGGCCGAGTCGATCTGTCCTTTGGCCTTACCCAGACAGAGTCGACCGTCTAATGCAAGCCACAGGACTCGTGTTCGCGCAGCTCCTTGGTGGGGATACTTGGTCACCTAGGCATGGCAGGGAATCGCCTCTCGCTCATGTTCCAGACGCACCTCGATTCCAGTAACCAGCAGGTGCCATATCGCCTCCATGCGAAGAACTTCAAGGCGTGCTTTCTTGTACGCGTCATAGATAGGGTTGGAGATGATGCTTGATGTCGACGGGTCTTCGTGTGGCACAATCGGTTTGGACGAAAACATGACAAGCGACGGCCGGAACGACGCCCCTCGAATAGTGTTGACAATTGTGTTTGGAACGCTTCCACGGTGCCGTGGGACAGTAGGTTTCTCCGAGCCGATGGGCGACGACATGGGCGCTGTCCTGCTCTTGGCAAGCTGCCCAAGTACCGACATCGTTGACATGGTAGTCGGCGGAAATTCCGACTAGGGTCGTTGCAGGAATCTCGACAATCGCAGCGGTTTCGCTGGAACATGTATCACTTTTAGCTAAATTTCAAGAAAATGACTACGACATTGTGAAATTTACGAGAAAACTTGACTGTGTTGCCCCGATTTTTGTCAAAAATTCGTGTAAATTTCGAAGAAATTCGGACATGTTTGATAGCCGTTGCGGTGCTTGTTTCGGTCGAGCAGCATGCCGCCTGCCGACGACCACCTTCGCGGTCTGCTCGAATTGGTTGCCCCGGACAGTCTTTCCGTGAACGGCAATGAACTTGACCAGTGTGTTGCTGCCCTCATGTCACGAGTCCTTGCTCTCTAACTCGATGAATGTAGCGCGAGCCAAGCGGAGCGCGACGCCGCATCGCATGCTGTCACACTGACGAAGCCAGGTACCGGTGATATTCGATGTGTGCTTCGTTGCTCAGCTGCAACATCTAGGCGATGTCATCCTTGTAACTTCTGGTGGATTCATTTACTCCACGGGGCGATACCTGACCCAGCAGCCATGGGATCATGCCGTTCGTTCATTCTCCATATTCAGCCTTGACGTCATGTGTTGGAATCATGTTCACATTGTAGTTGCTGGTCGTGGATGCCACGAAAGCCCTTCATGTGGGCTTTCCTCGCGTGTGCTACGTCTCCTTGGAGCGCGTGCTGCTTCCCAAGCGTCAGCCAGCCATCTACCGCGTCCCGACCATCCACGACTCACCTTCTGCACAGTCACTTATCCAAGTACTCGAGACCAATTCCAATTTCGATTGCATCAACGTGGCGTTGGTCACGTGGTGTAGAAATACGCCGAGCTCATGCAAGACACCCCATACGATATTGCGCGGGCCATCACCCTCGGCCGTCAACTCACACTCGAGCACTTGGTGGGTTTCAAGCCCTCTCCACCGCAAATATCATTCACTTGGCGTAGTTTAATCTCAAGTCCACGGCGCGCGCCGCGCCACCGCGCAAAGCATGGGTGTGCACTGACGCAATCTTGTACGTCCTTGCGTGGCGCGTCCACACATCTGATCTCGGCGGCAGGTCACTTTTGGCTGCGTGTTCGCCGACCTTCCACAGCCAACTCAAAGCTCAAGCCCCTCGGCTCGGTGAGTTCTACATGTCGATCCTAGTCCATCATGACGCGCTAGCCACTAGACCTATCTCGTCTTGGCATCGCGTCGCTAAAGGATTTTTTGACTCTCCATCACCACAGCGTCCTCACGAGGGTGCCCCTGCCACCATACAACTTTAACGTGCAACCCACGCCTGCGTTTGACACGGCGTACGTATTGAAGCACCTCGTTGATTTTCCCAACCCGGTGATCGTGTGGGAAAAATTCCACGGGCTGGTAGAGCGGTTTGCTTCCGATGCGGTAGGTCGTTGTGGGTGCCTGGATGTTCATGCATGCGCAGGCATTTCAGCACCCTCGTGTCCTGCAAAAGCAAATGCAAGCGCTCGTGTACGCCATGATGTTTCTTCTGCTACTAAAGAAGCACGCGGTCGTGCTTTCGATCGTCTATCGAGCTTTGCAGCTGGTAATGCTTTGCCTGGCTGTTCCAGAGGGGTTTTACCAGGTCCATTCGACTAGTATTTGGTCAAGCAAGTCGCACTCGCCCTGCTTCCACCCTCAACAACGTCCAAGCTGTGATTCATTATTTGAACGACACTAACACTGATAATTCCAACTTTCACTCCAACAAGCAGACAGACTGAGCGAACGGATCACTCCTATCGTGCCCTGTTCGCGCCAGGTGGCACGACCTTTGCAGACGCTGCGGCATGATGCAGAGTTCCAGCTGCTGCTGCTGCATACGGTCCACCTCATCACCATGGAATTCAAACTACTCTCGATTGCTTTAAAAGTTAAACTTGAAGGCTGGGGCCGGCGGCGGTGCCACTGAGGCTTGCTTGTCGCCGGCAGATGTTGTCACCTTCTTCTTAGCCACGTGTATTCGCTTGCCTTTGCCGTACCTACGCTGGATCGTGTAAGATTTTGGCCATTGTAGCACCTCATCAAGCAGTTCCATGACATTTCGAGCTGAAATTTTCGCCAGGAATTCACAGAGCAACTCGTTTGGAATTTGCAGCACATTTGTGCGCTATGCATGCGTACGTACCGCAGTTGCATCTTTTGCACTTCCGAGCTGTTGTCGGTTGCTTTGCGCAGCGTCACATAGGTCGACGTTCCCGTCGTGACGGATGGAGGAGGTGGAGGCACAGCCGGACCTTTCGCCGACGAATTGCTTGCTTTTTGCTTGGCATTGGCCTTCTTTGCCTTGGATTTACTTGACGAAGACGACGGCGCCATGGCAGCCAACTCTTGTTCGGAGAACCCGACCTTGTCAAACGTAAATAAAAACTCAAAACCCTTCGGCTCGTCCTGCACGGCGACAGGGGCGGCCTTTTTCGCCTTGCTCTTCTTTTTCTTCTTTTTCTTTTTCTTGTCCGGTTCCTCGATGGAGGCGGCTGCGACTGCGTCTGTGATTGTGGCGACAGCGTCCTCCGACGCATCGTGTTTGGATGGAACCTCGTCTCGCGTCACGTTCACCTCCGTGGTGGAGTCCATTGATTCTCCCGACGCAGCGCCATCTCCTTGAGATGCTTTGTTCTTCTTCTTCTTTGGTTTCTTTGATTTCACAGATGCGGTCGGGGTTGCGGTGGCGTCAACTGCAACGACACCAGGCTCCTCGGGTACGAATCCAAACTGAAAGGCAGGCGCAGTCGTAGCTGCCGACTTCTGCGTTTTCTTCTGGAACATATCCGAGAGCTTTCCTGCCGACGTTGCGGCGGTGGTGGCGCCACCAGTCGGCTGCCTGCTCATCTCGTTGCCACTCAGCGCAGTGCCACTGGGACCTTTGATTGGTTACGAATCTTCCAATCACAAGGCGTCAACCAACTGGTTAATTAATACATTATCCGGATATCCAGATCGAAGGGACGAAACTTCACACACGAGCATGGACAACCGCAGCGAGGATGGCTGCCGCATGAAGAGGGCCGATGGATATGCCAATAGACTGCGACGTGCGTGGGCTTGATCGAACTGTAGTCTCGCCGTCGCTTTCCGAGTCGTTGTCGGCTTGTGGTGCCGGCGTCGTCACGAAGTCGGCCGTCGTTGTTGCCTGCCCTGCACCTGTCGCGTTCAACGTCGAGTCGTTGAGCACAAGTATAGATGCAGTCGCTGCGACGCCGAACGGCGAATCAAAGGGATAAGCAGGTGGTGTGCGTACGTAGCTTGACCCTTCCTCGAAGGTTGTGTTGGCCGTGCCGACTGACGTCGAGTTCACCGCATTCGGGAATTCGCCTACTGCGAGCCGACTTGCAGACGTCGCAATGGGCAGGGAGCTAGCAGTGGGCATAAATTTGCTCATGGCAACGTCTTTCGACGGGCAAAGAAAGCGGACGCGCTCGTAGAGCGCGTGCGAGGGGTCGATGCATGGAACGACTTGACGATGGAGAAACGGCCAGCACACCACTCCACGGCAAATTCGATCGGGCAACTGCAAGCGCGGGTACAAGGTGGATTGCTGTACCTCTGCAGCGCACGTCGTGACCATAAATTTGGTGTCGGCAGAGCACGTCGGCCGCGGAGGCTCTGTCGACACGACTGCTACCACCAACGCCACGAGCACTGCGACCGGGAGCATGCTGCAAATTCGATTCTGCACCGCGACCCGCTCAAAGGTCCATCACACCGCCATCGAGACGGCATGGGCGACGCGCCCTTTACGTCGAACGTAGACACCGTGCCCGAACCGTGCTTTCTACGCTGTGCTTCCTTGTGCCCCGTGGCCAGCATGGGCCCGAAGCAAAAAAACCTTCTGGACGACGTCGATGCGATTACGAGCTGCTTTGTCTGGTTCTGCGACCCTTGCAACCTCACAGGCTAAATAAAATGCATGGGAAGAGAGGTGTGTGTGGTGAGATGTAAGGTCAAGGGACCTCCACGCACGATCCAAGTCCATCCGTATCGGCACTCCTGTCGCCATCGGATGCCAACGGTCAGCCACACCAATGCTGCGCGGCAATTTGTTTCTGTATCGTTCGCTATGGCGACTGCACTGATCCATACGGTGGTGACGGAGATATTCTGGACGTTTGACCGGACGACGGCGCGGTGCTGCTCAGTCCCAAGCCTTTCCACATGAGCCGCCAACCACGATCGCTTTTCTAGTCCAACACACCGATCGCTCAGATGGAATTTGAGATGCGAAATGGATTTGTACCGCCGCCTCGGTTTCTTCCTCCGTTAGAGGTATGTCTTCGGATCGCCGGATGGTGTCGAGCATTTCCATGTCTGCTTGGTGCATGAAGGCGTCGGCGCTGTGCATGGCGAGGCTGTCAAGAACGAGGACGCCATCGGTGGAGACCCATGACGGCCGAGGTTTGTCTGATGCGTCTGGAGGGGAGCACGACGTAGGCATGCGAGTCTTGTCGGAGGCATGACGATTGCCCGTCTACGCGAAGCGAGGCCATTACCACAATCAGCCCATGCATGCCGCCGCCCATCACACTTTTGCCGAGATGTTTCAGTCTTACGTTGCTGTAATTTTGCACAAATTGCTCGTGCAATGCCAAAATGTACGGGTTCCACCGACAGCGAGGCGCCACCTAGACCGGGGTTGCATGCATGTTTTGTCATGGCAGGACCCACCGATGGTTGGTGCAGCCATGGGTGGTCGGCGAGTTCATCTGCCCTGCCCTCCACATGACGCATCGACGTGATATCGCTGGACGGCACACGCTGCACGTACGTAAGGTTGTCGCGAGGGGCCGACGTGAGCACACGCGTGAGGAGGTCGCGTGCGGCGCGACTCACGTGGCCAAACTCTGGTGGAAACGTGAGCGTCGGTGAGTGAACGGAACTTGTGTCGGGGAATTGAGCAAACAACATGACATAGCTGCAACATGACCACGTCAGAGAGGGTTTTTTCGTCGAGCCACGTACAGACACACGCCAAGCGCCCACAGATCGACGTGAGCTGCATGGTTGAAAGACGGAAACACGGCAAGCGCGGTGGGGTTGCGCTGTCGAAGCCACGGGGGCAAGAACCGAGGGTCGGACGGCCCCCTTTCTCGATACAGCGCTACACCAGCACCGGGTTGTGCCATCCAAGCAACGAAGACAGGGGCGTACACTCGGCAAAGGTCGCGGGCGGGCCAGCGCACCCAAAGTCGACGAGCATGGCCTGCGCATATGAGTCGACTGTCCATCCGAGGATCGACCAGACCTTGGACGCGCCATCGATTTCGCTGTACAAGATATGTTCTGGCCGAATGTCTCCATGGACCCAACCCAGGGCATGGAGGTAGATTAGTCCCTGAACAATGTCGGCAAACGCATGACTGAGCTCGGCTTCCTACGTGCGATTGTGACGCAGCCCGATGTCGACGGACATCCCCTTACGGACAAGACGAACACCGAAGCGTGCGGTTCCAGCACGCGTCGAAGCACTTGGCCACCCTGCGCCAGTTCAAACGCAATCTCGACCTACACTTGAGACCATGGCGATTACCGTGGGCAAGGACGTTGGTGGCAAAACGTACGGTGTTGGAGGATTCGTACACGTCGTAGAGCCGCACGACGTTTGGGTGATTCAACTTGGTCAGGACATGAATCTCCCGCCGCATGTGCCTGCGCTGTTTGGAATCTGTAAGGAACGACCGAGGAAGGACCTTGAGCGCCACGACGTCGCCCGTTTCCCGATGTGTCGCGCGATACACTTGATGCCCATCTGTCCCTGGTGATCGAAGTCACGCAGTGAATGCATGCAGTGGGACGAACCTTCTCCCGCGCTGATCAATTCGGATAACTCGTAGATGGACGTCGCGTCATCTTTGCAGCTCATGGACGCGCAGCAGCTCCATGCAGCGCATGGGCCATACCACCACACCATGATGCCGCGACGGTCGTGATGGTGCAACAACTTGGCAGTCCCACTTCTGAATGTTGACGTTTCCGGATAATCACTCTACCAGAAATCCGGATACAACTGCAGAAATACATTCTTGTTGTCAGAAGACAAAGATTAGTTTTGACGTATTTCGTCATATATCAAGGCTCCGTGCAATACGTCGAAGTATTATACAACTACACAGTACGCAGATCGCACAGTCAGTAAGGAGCGCCCGGCATTATTTAAATTCATGCATTGAATTCAACATACAAATATCAAGAGAAACTTTAACAGTATATTGACGTCGTGGCGTCGTCTAGAATTAAAATACGACCATGTTCAACTAAGTAGTTCATGGCCGACGATCTTGATGCAACGAACCAGATCCAGAATTGCGCGGGGGGATGCACATGTCGACGGAAGACACGGCGCGGCCCACGCAGGCGGCCACGGCGAACCCAACGTCCACAAATGGAGAAGAGGAACCGTTGCTGTCGGCGCAGCCGGCTCCGACCGTGGTCACGAACAATGACGGGCGGACCTGGATTGACACGAATCCATTGAGCCGATGGATTGTGTCGCAATGGGAGGAAACGTACGAATTCGAGGCGTTGTGTGTCGAAACGACGCGCAATGCTCTCGGCATCCCGTCGTACTCATGGAGAGGTCTCCCCCTTCTCTACGCCGCGATGATCGTTGGTACGCTGTCGACGACGTGAACGTCGGCGGGGGTCACCCCGACTATCGTAGGCATTGCAATCGCAGTCGTTGTGGATGGACTGACGTACAAGGATGACAATGATGATGACGACGACGACAGCGACCGCAAGTCCAAGTCGTGGCAGCGCCACCCGTCCTCCACCGACTTGTCGGACATGATCCACCAGTACACTTGGTATCATGTGCTCGTGGCCGTGCTTGTCTTCAACGCATGCTACTCCCTCGCCGCGTACCGGGCAAACTTGAACGGGTGGCGCCTTTTCCTCCAACGCTGCAAGGAGGTGTGCATCGTTGTGGCGCAGGTGTTGTTCTTCCTCAATATCTTTGGCACGGTCCATGTGTCGTGGATGTGGGTGGCAGCACCCGTTATCGTGTGGACGCTCCTCCTGGTGCTGCGGTTGCAGTGGCAGGCACTCGTAGGTCTGACTGCGATCTTGGCGGCGTTCAAGCTCTCGAGCGCCGCCGCGGACGCCCAATGGACGTGGACAATGGTGTTTACACCGATTTGGGTTCTGCTCGTGTGCATTGCGTCGCTGGTACGTGCTGGTGATTCTACTCTTCATCATGGTAAAAGTAGTGGCTGCTTTTGCGCGAGAAAGGTTCGTACGTCGTTCGAGGCTACTGGATCCCGCAAGTGTTTGCATTCTTCTTTGTCGCCGTGCCATGGGTCATCAAAATGCAAGTCTTCCCTCAAGTCGACAGCCACTCGCCTCCGTCTGCGAACGCGACGGCGGGCGGCCCCGGGCAAGACGTGGTCGTTGTAGACGACAGCAACGACGACAACTGGTTTGCATTTCGGTACTGGTGGCTCCTCCTCGTGTGGGTCCTTCCACCAATCTTCTTCCTCGCGCATATGCTCATTTCAGTACGTGCTGCGCGTGTGGATGGATCGTCGTGACGGGCACCGTGCAGACCTTGTACGCAAGCTTCCAGCGCGCCCAAGCGATGGACAGGCAAGCCGAACTTCAACGACGAGATGCATTCGGGTGGAGACAGTCCCAAGCCAACGAATCTGCGCTCCAACAGCCCACGAACGCATCCAGCGCTGTCTAGTCATCGGGTTTGTGTGGTGCAGCGCAGTTGGAGGCTCTCGCAATCCACGTCGATCGCGCCATGTCCATGCATGTCGCCCGTGCTGCACGACTTGAAAGGGGCACACTGACTATGGTCGACATTATCGATGAGCCGACGGATAATTCTATTACTTAATAGAGTTCGAATCAACAGATCAAGAAGCGTATGATCCTCTTGCTTTTGATATCACCTGAATCAAAATTGAATACTACATTACCAAGTATATTAAAATAAAAAGGTGGTTGAAACAATGCAGACCTTTCACTGTCGTAGCCTGATGAGACAGTCGCAAGTTTCAACATTGCTTTCAGCGGCCTGGAGATGCGTGAGCTGCAGTTATTAGAGAGGTTCTGAAGGAATTCCACATCCACATCCATAGCGAAATCTCTGCCAAATGTCGTTCTGTGGATCATGTGCGGAATCGACCAAAGTTTTGGTTTGGAGCCGACGACACCACATCCATACATTTCTTCCGGTTACATGTTCCGGATACATGTTGATATCAATG